AGTTGTATCACAGATCCTTAAAAATCTGTCTATGAAGTCGTGAGGATCTTCATAGTCCTCTCCACCAAACTGAGTTTTCTCCACCAAGGTGATGAGTGCTGGCCGGATGTCATAATTATTAGCAGCAATCGGTGGTTTGACAATACTCGAGTTTGGCCTTGTGAATTGAGGAGCCAAAACTGATTCCATCAGCTCAGCTGCTGGTGGATTTTCTTCTGCCATCTCTGTTTCTACTTCAAAGTGTGAAGTAGAATTTTCTGCTTCAGAATGTGAAGTAGAAGCCTCTGCTTGCCTCTTCTGCTTGGTATGTTGTCTTATCCTCTTTGCAGTCCTTTCTATCTCTGGATCGTAAATCAAAGTTACAGGATCAACTGTACCACGCATAAACTCAAGCAAACAGATTAGTAACACAAAGATCCAAGCAAGAAAATCAAAAGTTATAAATAACTTGGCGTAATCAATCCCCGGCAACGGCGCCAAAAGCTTGATGCGTAATTTCGGCAAGTGCACCGATCGTACCAAGTAATAAAGAGTGAGTAGAGTATCGTCTCCACGAGGATTGAGGCACCTAAGTTGTTATAACTATTCCTCTCTTGTTGGATTAATCAAAATAGGTTGAGAATGATTGTAGTTCATGAAACAAACTAAAATAATTAAAGTAAAAATGTAAATGATTCCAAAAGTGTTTTCAGAATGCAAGAACAAAAGATTAAGGATTGGGAAAATATTTGAGAAAATATTGCGGTAAGAGAAACAAACACCTTTCCGATCCCCACCTTGCAACTTGGATTACGTTTACAGTTACCTATTCAATTGATCGAACAATTCATCATATTTTATATGATTAGTTAAGCCCTAATCCCTTAGTGATCTTAACCTTGTCAACTCTATTAGAATCCTAATCCCTTAGAAATCCCTTTTCGAGTTAACCCTTAAAATCAATGAATCTTTAACGTTCGCGGTTCATATAGCCTATCCCTAGTGCGTACATGAACAGTTATCTTATTCTTTGTCAGGAATTAGAATTCCAACATCCCTATTGTAAACCCTAACCCTCGCAATCCTACTAGATTAATCAGTTCCAATAGAATTATAGAATGAAGAACAAGAAAAGATAAATGCAATTAAAATAGATAAACATAAAATTCAACCAAGGTACAGGGGGTTCACATCAAGGGTTGTGACCCTTACCACAATGATAAAACTAGCCAGACATGTTCATATCTGACAAAATAACAATAAAAGAAAGTAGCATTTAAAACCTAGAAGAGAAAGGGAAGATGAAGATCTTCCGTCTTGATCGATTGAATCCTTGAATCTCCGAGAAGCTCCAAGGAATCTCTGCTCTATTTGTTGTTTTTCTCCTCTTGATTCTCCCCCCAAAGTCCTTCTCCCTTTGTTTCTGATCCTTTTATTAGGTTTTGGGAAAACCTCATTTCACTTGCACTCCCATTGGGCCTTATTTTAGCTGATTCGCACTTAAAAATATATCGCCCACGCATGGGGCGCCAAGCCTGGCGCCCCAAACTTGGGAGAAACAGAAGCTGAATCTGTCAACGGCGCCCCGGGCGCCAACTCTGGAGTGTCGTGCGCCAGTCCCGCGCTCCGTGCGCCAACTCTCGAGCACCGGGCGCCAGGTTGGCGCGCCGTGCGCCACCTACCGCGCGCCGTGCGCGGCCGAAACAGAAGCAAATCGTCGATTTGGCGCCCCGTGCGCCAGGTACCACACCCTGTGCGCCAGTTTGGCGCTCCGTGCGCCAACCTCCGCGCGTCGTGCGCCAGCGGGAAATTTGGTTTCTCTGTTTTTGCTCCTTTTTACGGTGTTTCCTGCTATTTAAACATATAACTTGAGTGAGAACATGATTGAGAAGGAATAATCAATATTTCTTGCATTTGATGACTATTTTCACTCATTTATGATTAATTCCTTGCTTCTTTCAAGTTAGAAAACATCATATGCTAGACGCACATCAAACAATTCCCAGATTTAGATATTGCTGTCCTCAGCAATAAACAGAATTTAAGCATGGGAAGCAAGGTTCAATCAATCAAGCACAACATTGCACAGACAATCATAAAGATCACTATACTAAGCATGAATGATTTCCACGTCAAACTTAAGATGATGCTCATCAACTACATTCAAACATCAGAGTCTAACTTGATTACCCCTCACAAGACATAATATTCACTCATCACTCAGTGTTTGGGGATATTTGTCATCACTCATTCCATCACAGCTGTTGCACTGCCATAAGCTTGATCTTATTCTCAAGTTCCTGAAGATGAGGAATACCAACACATGCATGACTGATCAAAAGGGCTTCTCAAGGTTATAACTTGGCTTGGCTTTAAAGGTAGAATCATTTGGGAAGTAGCTGAATAATCATTGAGATTGAAACACCATTGTCATTAAGACTCAATCATATCTCAACTTATGTTTCAGCTCCACTATTTACTTGGATTCATGATTCATCCTCTTTCTCACATTTTTCTTCATCATTGCTTTTCAATTTTTGCAATTTATTTTTCTTTCCTTTTCAATCTCACATGAGAACTATTCTTCTCTTTTCCTTTTCAACTGCTTAACTTCTAGTGGAGCTTACCTCAATCACTTCTAACTTTTTGATTATTGACATTTCAATCTCAATTAAGGTAAGTTCTGATGGAAGTGGTTTAAACAGTTTAATAAGGTAATAAAAAAAATTGGTCTCAGGCTCAACATGGCTAACAATGGATGATTTCTCAGGTAGCTATTTGGCCATAAGCTTAATAGAATAAAATGCCTCTATCACTTCAACCAACACATGCATTGGAGAGAATTAGATCAAGTTCTAGAGTACTACTGCAGTGAGGACTCTAAAAAAAAGTTTATTGTATAGGCACAAACCTCACAAGCTGTGGTATCAAACTAGACTCCTCTTAATTTCAGTCTAAGCATCATTATCATAGAAATCAAACAAACGAGCAATCATAATCTCTATTCATGCTCTATGCAATGTTATGACAATCCTGCATATCATGCAATGCTTCCTCATATCCAACCAAGGAATTGACTGAGTAGCACATCTAAATCAGAATTTTGCTTTCTCATAGCAGGAATTGAAACTAAAAACACGAACTTTCTACCAAAATGAAAATAAAAATGAACATAACTAGAAAGGTTAAAATAACTCCCCTGAAGTGGCTATGAATCTGCTGAACCTTTTTCTGTGTGTGATACCTCGATTTCCGTGTATGCGGCCCCAATTCCCAGATTTAGAACATTGCTGTCCTCAGCAATAACTAAAGTAGTCAGAGAAAATACTGCTGCGCAAGTATAAACAACACACATGTGAAATGTCAAACAGAAAATAAGATGACCAATGTACTGGAGAATTACAACCCAAAATACCAAAGAGGTTCAAATGACCCTAACATAAACCTAGACGGTCAAACAAAGACAATGAAAATAAAACATCACAATAAAAATTAAACACAGATAAGAGAAAGGAAATAAAATAAAATAAAAATAATAATAAAAACTCATTGGGTTGCCTCCCAAGTAGCGCTTGTTTAACGTCACGAGCCTGACGTACCCCTTGTGATCATGGTGGCTGGTAACTCGGGCTCAGTGATGACACTATACCCTTACTCAGAATTTGTGTCCCGCCATGGTTATACTCATATGCATGTGGATAAGGATGAGGGTTCTCAGAAACTTTAAACTTAGTCCTCACATGCTTTTCCTTACCTTTGGGCTTTTCCATCTTAACCTTTGGCTTGCTTCCTTCATGCCACTGATGGATTTCCTTCTTTGTGGGGTTTAGTCTTCTCTGAGATTGTCTCACATGTTTAACATTGTCTTCCATTAGCATCTTGTGAGTACAGAAAGAATGGTTGATGCCCTTCAAATCAGAAATAGACCACCCAATAGCTGTCTTGTGCTCCTTGAGCACTTTCAACAACTTCTCTTTTTCATCCATAGACAACTCTTTATTGATGATAACGAGATATTGCTCTTTATCTCCCAAGAATGCATATTTCAGCGTTTCAGAAAACTCTTTCAAATCTGTTTTTGGTGCTACTGTAACTAGATCATTTTCTTTCTTTTCTAGCACCTCAAAAACAACTTCTAGCTCTTCTTGTGGAGTAGCTTCATCTTGAGCCTTCAACTCTTCTTCAAGCTCTTGATAATCACTTTTCTCTTCCATAATCACCTCTTCAGACACATCAAGTCTGAAACAATCACTGTGATCAGATGAATTCTTCATAGCATCGAAGACATTGATAGTGATTTTCTCATCATTCATCCTCAACTCGAGCTTTCCTTGTTCTACATCAATCATAGCTCGAGCTGTGGCCAAGAACGGTCTACCCAACAGAAGGGGTATTTCACTCTCCTCCTCCATGTCTAACACGATGAAATCAGCAGGGAAGATGAACTTGTCAACTTTAACAAGAACATCTTCTATGATTCCACTAGGTCTCCTCAAAGAACGGTCAGCAAGCTGTAAAGATACCATGGTTGGCTTCAACTCAGAAATTCCCAATGACTTGCATATTGACAATGGCATCAAGTTGATGCTTGCTCCAAGATCACAAAGTGCCCGGCCAACATTGGTATTGCCTATCGCAATTGGGATGTTGAAACTTCCCGGATCTCGAAGCTTTGGTGGGAACTTCTTCTGAATAATGGCACTGCACTCCTCAGTAAGTGCTACTGTCTCACAATCCTGCAACTTATGCTTTCTAGACAATAAATCTTTCAAAAATTTAGCATAGTTAGGCATATTAGCTAAAGCTTCAGCAAAAGGAATATTAATATGCAACTTTTTAAACATATCTAAAAACCTGGCATACTGTTGCTTCTGTGCTTGCTGCTTGAACTTCATAGGATAAGGAGGTTTCTCAAAACGAGAAAAATCCATCGGTTTCTTTGGAGCTTCAACAGCTTTCTCTTTTGCGTCTCCTTTGTCTTGCCTTGCAGGTTCTTCTTTCTCAGTTGCAGGCGTTTCTACCTATTTTTCTTGCTCTGGCTCGATCACTGGTTCATCAACCTTCGCTTTCTGAACCCCTTTTTGCTTGTCTTGAGGAGTGATCACAATTCCACTCCTGGTTACAATAGATTTGCAGTCTTCCTTAGGATTCACAATAGTATCTCCAGGAAACTGCCCTTGAGTTCTTTCAGCCAACTGCCTAGACAACTGGCTTATCTGACTCTCCAAGTTCCGGATGGAAGCATCCTGGTTCTTGTGGTAAGCTCTTGTCTCATTAATGTGATCATTAGTGGTCTTTGACAGTTGTATCATTGCTTTCTCCAACTCAGATGGCTCTTTTTGTGGCAGAGGAGGAGGTTGTAGATAGTTGTTGGATTTATAATCCAAACCACTCCCTTGGTTCCTCCTTTGAAAGTTATTTCCTTGGTCGCCATTCTGATTCCTTTGGTAACATTGAGTATTCTGTGGAGGCTGTGGATCATACCAAATTCCATTGACCTGGAATGGTTCAGCTTTATTGAGTGTAGGGCACTCATTAGTGTCATGCGGCTCCTTGCAATACTCACAGTTAAATATATCAACCTTAGATGTTGAGAGCTGCATCATGTCCAGCTTGGCATTCAAACTGGCCAATTGCTGTGAAATCACTTTTTGCTCAGCCAGTGATGCATCATTATTCCCCAATTGTAAAATTCCTTTCTTGGGCTGAACAGATGGGAATGCTGCTGCCATAGACGCATTCTCATTCCTTGCCATTAAATCCAGCAGCTCTAAGGTCTCATCTGCTGTCTTCTTTCCTATGGTGCCACCAGCTGCACCATTGACAATCATTCTGCATTCTGGCGTCATCCCATTATAGAAGACTCTGACCTTCTTTGTATCTGGCAAGTCATATTGTGGACACTTTCTGATCAGCTCCTGGTATCGAGTCCAGGCTGCACATAAAGTCTCTCCTGGTTGTTGGGTAAAATTGGTGATTTCATTCACCAACTTATTGTACTTTTCCATGGAAAAGTGTTCAGCAAAAAATTTAGCCGCCAAATCCTCCCATGTTCTGATGCTGTTGGGAGCTTGTCGATCCAACCATTTGAGAGCTCTCCCGGTCAATGCAAACGGGAACAATCGGAGTCTGATCGCATCGTCTGACACTCCGTTGTGTTTAGTTGTATCACAGATCCTTAAAAATCTGTCTATGAAGTCGTGAGGATCTTCATAGTCCTCTCCACCAAACTGAGTTTTCTCCACCAAGGTGATGAGTGCTGGCTGGATGTCATAATTATTAGCAGCAATCGGTGGTTTGACAATACTCGAGTTTGGCCTTGTGAATTGAGGAGCCAAAACTGATTCCATCAGCTCAGCTGCTGGTGGATTTTCTTCTGCCATCTCTGTTTCTACTTCAAAGTGTGAAGTAGAATTTTCTGCTTCAGAATGTGAAGTAGAAGCCTCTGCTTGCCTCCTCTGCTTGGTATGTTGTCTTATCCTCTTTGCAGTCCTTTCTATCTCTGGATCGTAAATCAAAGTTGCAGGATCAACTGTACCACACATAAACTCAAGCAAACAGATTAGTAACACAAAGATCCAAGCAAGAAAATCAAAAGTTATAAATAACTTGGCGTAGTCAATCCCCGGCAACGACGCCAAAAACTTGATGCGTAAAATCGGCAAGTGCACCGATCGTACCAAGTAATAAAGAGTGAGTAGAGTATCGTCTCCACGAGGATTGAGGCACCTAAGTTGTTATAACTATTCCTCTCTTGTTGGATTAATCAAAATAGGTTGAGAATGATTGTAGTTCATGAAACAAACTAAAATAATTAAAGTAAAAATGTAAATGATCCAAAAGTGTTTTCGGAATGCAAGAACAAAAGATTAAGGATTGGGAAAATATTTGAGAAAATATTGCAGTAAGAGAAACAAACACCTTTCCGATCCCCACCTTGCAACTTGGATTACGTTTACATTTACCTATTCAATTGATCGAACAATTCATCATCTTTTATATGAGTAGTTAAGCCCTAATCCCGTAGTGACTTTAACTTTGTTAACTCTATTAGAATCCTAATCCCTTAGAAATCCCTTTTCGAGTTAACCCTTAGAATCAATGAACCTTTAACGTTCGCTGTTCATGTAGCCTATCCCTAGTGCGTACATGAACAGTTATCTTATTCTTTGTCAGGAATTAGAATTCCAACATCCCTATTGTAAACCCTAACCCTCGCAACCCTACTAGATTGATCAGTTCCAATAGAATTATAGAATGAAGAACAAGAAAATATAAATGCAATTAAAATAGATAATCATAAATTTCAACCAAGGTACAAGGGGTTCACATCAAGGGTTGTGACCCTTACCACAATGATAAAACTAGCCAGACATGTTCATGTCTGACAAAATAACAATAAAATAAAGTAGCATTTAAAACCTAGAAGAGAAAGGGAAGATGAAGATCTTCCGTCTTGATCGATCGAATCCTTGAATCTCCGAGAAGCTCCAAGGAATCTCCGCTCTCTTTGTTGTTTTTCTCCTCTTGATTCTCCAAAAAAGTTCCTTCTTCTTATGTTTCAGATCCTTTTATTAGGTTTTGGGAAAACCTCTTTTCACTTGCACTCCCATTGGGCCTTATTTTGGCTGATTCGCACTTAAAAATATATCGCCCACGCACGGGGCGCCAAGCCTGGCGCCCCAAACTTGGGAGAAACAGAAGCTGAATCTGTAAACGGCGCCCCGGGCGCCAACTCTGGAGTGCCGTGCGCCAGTCCCGCGCTCCGTGCGCCAACTCTCGAGCACCGGGCGCCAGGTTGGCGCGCCGTGCGCCACCTCCCGCGCGCCGTGCGCGGCCGAAACAGAAGCAAATCGTCGATTTGGAGCCCCGTGCGCCAGGTACCGCGCCCTGTGCGCCAGTTTGGCGCTCCGTGCGCCAACCTCTGTGCGTCGTGCGCCAGCGAGAAATTTGGTTTCTCCGTTTTTGCTCCTTTTTGCGGCGTTTCGTGCTATTTAACATATAACTTGAGTGAGAGCATGATTAAGAAGGAATAATCAATATTTCTTGCATTTAATGAATATTTTCACACATTTATGATTAATTCCTTGCTTCTTTTAAGTTAGAAAACATCATCTGCTGGACTCACATCAATTATCTTTATTTGCTTCCTTTTGTTTCTGGTTCCAATAAAATGGCTCCATGTGATGTGTGTTGTAGAGCCAAACAAACTCGTACTCCGTTTAATATCAATAAAAAGCATAGTCTTCAACCTTTTGATTTAATTCATTGTGATTTATGGGGACTATATCGCACTGTTTCATCTTCAGGTGCACGTTATTTTCTTACGATTGTGGATGATTGTAGCCGTTTTGTATGGATTTATCTCCTTCGTGACAAACATGAAGCTTGTTCTACGTTAATTAATTTTATTAAAATGGTGCAAACACAGTACAACTTCACAGTTAAGAATGTTCAATCTGATAATGGCACTGAATTTATCTCTTCTCCTTTGAGTTCCTTTTTCGCAAACCGTGGTATTCTTCATCAATTTTCATGCCCATACACGCCCCAACAGAATGGTTGGGTTGAACGACGTCATCGTCATATTCTCAATGTGGCACGTGCTCTACGCTTTGATGGCCATCTTCCTCTTTCTTTTTGGGGAGAATGTATCCTTGCTGCTGCCCATCTGATTAATAGGATTCCAACTACCTTACTCAAAGGAAAGTGCCCTTTTGAAGTTCTGCACAACGTACCACCAACCTATGATCATATTCGGTTACTTGGTTGTCTTTGCTATGCTACGGTTTTGCCCAAACCATCTGGTAAATTTGCTGCCCGTTCTCGTAAGTGTGTTTTTATTGGCTATCCTTCGAACAAAAAAGGTTGGAGAGTTTTCGATTTGGATACAAAGGAAACATTTATTTCTCGTGATGTACAATTTTTTGAAGATAGTATTCCATTTGCTTCCGCTGATCATGATCCTTCACCGGTCATCACACCAACCATCTCTCCACCTGCATTTTTGTATGACTCATGTACTCATGTACTCATGACACACCACTGCTCGTTGCTTCTTCTGATGATGCTCCTCAACCTGATACGGTGCCCACAGACAGGGGGAGTCCTTCGGATGTCGTTTCTCCACCAGTTTCTTCATCTGAAACTGCAGCTACAGTCCCAGCAACCTCAACGTCTGCACCTCTTCTTCGGACTAGAAGGAATCATCGACCACCTGCCTACCTTCAAGATTATCAATGTCATAACACTACTATACCCCCTTCTACCAACACTCTCTCCAACGTCCCCTCAGGTATTTCCTATCCTATACAAAAGTTTGTTACTAATTCTATATTTTCTTCCCAGCATCAACATTTTTTGGCTGCTGTTAGTAATGCTTCGGAACCACGTTCATTCAAAGAAGCTATGAAGAATACAAATTGGAAACAGGCTATGCAACTTGAAATTCAAGCGCTAGAAGATAATCACACATGGGTTGTCACTTCTCTCCCACCAGGCAAAAAGGCTATCCCTTGCAAATGAATTTTTCGCATCAAATTTAATTCTGATGGCTCTATTGAGCGATATAAAGCAAGATTGGTCATCGCTGGCAACAATCAAATCGAAGGCGAAGATTACAATGAAACTTTCGCTCCGGTTGCTAAGATGGTCATCGTCCGTACCTTTCTTTCTGTTGCTGTTGCCAAAGGATGGCATATTTATCAACTAGATGTTCAAAATGCATTCCTCCATGGAGATCTCGAGGAGGAAGTGTATATGCGTTTTCCACCAGGTTTTTCTCAAGGATCTCCAGGAATGGCATGCAAGCTACAAAGGTCTCTCTACGGTCTCAAACAATCCCCACGCAACTGGTTTGCTAAGCTTCGTGCTTCTCTTCTTAGTTTCGGTTTTCAGCAATCCAAGGCTGATTACACGTTGTTCACTTTTCGTCACAATAATGATTTCGTTGCAGTCTTAATTTATGTTGACGATATAATTTTATCTGGCAATAATAGTTCTGTTTGTGATCAAGTTAAGCTGCATCTCCAAACATGGTTCAAAATTAAAGATCTTGGCAAACTCAAATACTTCCTTGGTATCGAATTTGCTCACAGTTCATCCGGTTTGTTCCTTAGCCAACGTAAATTTGCGATGGATATTCTCAATGAATGTGGTTTACTTGGCTGCAAGCCCGCTGTTTTCCCTATGGATCAAAATCATCAATTGGCTCTGGCAAATGGTCTAGCCTTTGAAGATCCTACACGCTATCGACGTATTGTTGGTCGTCTCGTTTATCTCACTATTACTCGACCAGAACTAAGTTATGCAGTTCATACTCTTTCTCAGTTTCTTCAGCATCCCTTGCAAGAACATTATGATGCAGCTTTGCGTGTGTTGCGATATATAAAGGGGAATCCAGGCCAAGGTCTTCTTCTTCGCTCAAACTGTGATCTTTTTCTTCGAGCTTACTGTGATTCTGATTGGGAAAGTTGTCCCATTACGCGTCGTTCCATCACTGGCTACTTTGTTACACTTGGAGACTCACCTATATCATGGAAATCGAAGAAACAACATACCATCTCTCGTTCATCTGCAGAAGCTGAGTATCGTTCTATGGCTGCAGCTACTGCTGAAATTTTATGGCTCAAAGGTTTTCTAAAAGATATTGGTGTTGATCACTCAATGCCTATGGCGTTATACTGTGATAGTAAGTCTGCACTTCATATTGCCTCCAATCCGGTTTTTCATGAGCGTACGAAACATATTGAACTCGATTGTCATTTTGTTCGCGAACATGTCATGAAGAACACCATTTCAACCGAGCATATTTCAACCTCCTCTCAACCTGCTGATATCATGACAAAAGCTCTTGGAAGAAAACAATTTGAATTTTTATTGTCCAAGTTGGGCATCTCCTCCCTCCATGCTCCAACTTGAGGGGGAGTATTACGATAGGTTTCCCTTGTTAGTTTGTTACTTGGTTTGTTAGTTTGTTAATAGGTTTGTTCTATGTTTGTAATTTAGTTTTAGGTTGTTGATAGGTTTGTTCTATGTTTGTAATTTAGTTGCAACTCTTCCTTTATCTTAGGAATAGATTCCTACGTATGTGTATTACAGTTAGTTGCTGATAGATGTATTTAAATGACCAATACATGAATAGAAAGCTAAGCTGTTCACTCACAACTTCCTTTACATAGGGACTAGATAGTTCATCTTAATCATGTAAGGAAACTAATGCACTGATTGGTTGGCTAATTTCTCTTTTCATCACCAGCACGGTGATTCTCTCAATTTTGTCCATTCAGCCCCTCATGATCACTTTACATATTAATTTTAGCTGATATGACTGTTGTGGGTTTCTTAACAAGCAGTGTTTCTTGATTTGTTTGTTTTCTTTCTTTCCTTTGGTTGGAGCTTTCACCCGTTAACCTCACCAAAAAAAAAATAATAATAATAAATAAAAGAGTAGTGGAAAATTTGACAGGGTTGGTGAAGAGGTGGCGAAGATCGAGAACTCAAAAAGTTCATCACTGAGATTCATGCACACAATAACAGTTGGGGAAGATGCCCGAAATTGACCCACGAAGACGCATATCGCACGTGTCAACAAGGAACTGCAAGCGTGTGAATTTATGACAGTACCAAGGTAGAGGGGGTGACGTGGGAAACAAACAAACAAACACTGCCTCTTTCATCTTTAAGCTCTGAAATGTGCATAAATATCCCCTCTGCTTTCATCTCAAGGGCCAACACCCTCTTTTATTTCTCTATCTCTATTTCACACTGTCTTAATCTTAATTAAGTGACAAGTGTGGACCACTAGTACTAACTAATTATTATATAACAATGAAGGATATGTGCAATGCAGTGCAGGGGTTGAAGCCAACGCTGCTAATGGTGGTGGTGCAGATATCATTTGCTGGGATGAATGTGCTCTACAAGCTTGCCGTTAACGATGGCATGAACTTGAGGATTGTTGTTGCGTACCGCTTTATATTCGCAACTGCTTTCATAGCTCCACTTGCTCTCATTGTTGAAAGGTTCATTCTTTAATTAATAATAGATCAAGAGAGTCAACATGCATGCAAAAAGCTCCTTACTTAAATTTTCTTCAATCATCTTTTACATATAATTTGATCATGTGCTATATTTTTTTCATGATTTTAAGATGTTTTTATTATGATTCTAGGGTCCCAACTTCTGGTGTGGCTGCACCACTTTTTTTAGTACAGCAAACACACACAAAATTAGTCCCACCAATTTTTGAAAAAAATAAAAAATCCACCGACGTGCGTGGTTGCAAAAATTTATTTGCAGTGACAGCAGAAATATAACAGCCATGATTCTATATAGCTAAGAAACATAAATAATATGCCAACCGTAACAATTTCCTCCTGAATATTTCTTTCGTATGTGAGATTAATACATGCCATGCAGAAACTAAATTAAGAATGAATTCTTTCTAAGGTTTTTGAAGATAAAGATAATTGAGATCAGTTCATTGTCAATGGAGAATGATTGCTTTAATTTCTATTTGATGTTCCAAAGCTTTTGAAGTGTTAATGGGTACTGCTATTTGAGCAGTTGGAGTTATTGAACCCACTTGTGAGTGTGCATTTATATAGAGGATTATTTGAGAACTCCTTAATTTGAAGAGCATGTCTTTTCACCCCTAGTTGAAAAAACTGGAGAAACAATAGCAATAGCAATAGTAATAGTAAAACGCCCCAATTTGAGTTAAAAAAATAGTATCTAAACACCAAAAAGAAGAGACAGATCAAACTAATATGCTTTTAATTTGTTGTTGATGATTGGCAGAAAGAAGAGGGCAAAGATGACATGGACGATACTGTTTCAGTCATTTCTGAGCGGATTATTTGGGTATGTAATGTCTTGTTAATTTATTGATATGCTCCGTCAAATTATCGTTTGAATGGTGCTCTTCTTTCGGTTTAGCTTAATTAGAGATCACCGAAACAAATGTCAAGTTTGCAAAAAGAGTTACGAAGTGAATACAGAGATCGAGGCCAATTGTGCTGTCCACATGGATTCCTAATTAATTAATCATGCGTGACTCTTTCTCCACCATCAATTTGTATTTGTAACTATATTTACGTGACCTTTCTAGCTAGACAGCACCATTCTAGTTCTGGAGTTCCAAAATCAAACCATATCTGCCTGTGTCTCATAGCTCAGTTCAACAATCTTACATGGATACTTGATAAAAATTAGAGTAAATACCTTTTAAGTCGTAACAAAAAACACAGTTGCATTTTAGTTCCTTATAAAAAAAATTAGTCTTGAGGTCACTACAAAATTCAAAGTGGACCCATTTAGTTGAAATTTTGGTTTCTCACAAATTTAAAAAATACCCATATTAGTCTTTCAAAATGACTAAAATTGGTCCATTTTGAATTTCATAAGGACCAAACGACTACTTTTTTTTTGTAAAGAACTAAAGTGAGGACGTAATTTTTGTTAGGAAACAAAAAATGTATTTACTCTAAAAATTAAATTTAAACAAAATTATTTTTATTTCTATAGTGATGCAGTTTATTATCTCGAGAGGAGTTAAATTTCTAAGTATATTCTTTAAAAATATATTTAATATTTTTTAATTTTCAATTTATATTTAATTTTTACTTTATTTAATTATGCCTTTATTTTATAATTTCAATATTTTAAAAAAACTTAATGGTTATTTTATATTTACCTAAATTGATAAATGACTATTTTTTGTCTCATGCAACACAAAAAAGTGGGTGGAACCCATTAAAGATAAGAGAGAAAGGAAAAAAGTGAGTCACACCCATTTTTTGTGTGTGTGTGAAACAAAATTATGTCATGTAATGTGAGAGACATATTTGATATTTGCCTAAAATGTATTGTCACTTTTTAGTTTATAGATAAACTAATTTTGTTGCCATATATATATAATTTTATTGGAATAAGTTATTCTATCTATTTCTTTTTAATGCATATCTTACCTACCACTCTCTAACGTTGTTAGATCAAAATCTCGGCTAACATTTACCATTTTTTCTCCTCTTGAGATTCTAATCTAACAGTATTGTTGGAGATTGATAATCTAACAGTGTTAGGGAGAGATAGGCACGAACAAAAGTAGGTAAAATAGTCTATCCCAATTTTATTTTTTATTTTTATTTTGTTAACGTGGAGCGCGTGTTCTATTTTTTTTTATATCGTGTTCTAGTTTTTTTATTTTATTTTTTTTATACATCTCGTGTTCTAGTTTTTAATTAGTGACAATCGCATGCTTTCACGTAATAAACAAAATCAGTGCGGTGAACTGTAGAGAATAATCCAAATCCATTCGTTTATTCTGATTTTCGTGGATTTGTTTTCCTTGTTTTATTTTTTTAAAAGTTGATGAGTTTGCTTCTTCTTTTTTTTCTGTGAGGAATATTTACTACCACCAAAAATAACTAAAATTTTGTCTGGATATAAGGGTATTTATTAGATGGAATAAAGTAAAAAAATAAAAAAAAACTCGTAATTCCAAAAGTCAATAACTGGCAAAATAAATTCAGCTGATCTCTAGCACTTTTATTTTGTTTTTAGTAGTGATATTGAATTAACTTTGTCATAATTAACTTGTCTTTAACGACGAGATAGAGATATGTTCCCTATAATTGACCATCACTTAATTTAAAGTGACGAAGAACTAGGCTTTGATTTAATATGCAGAGGAGTATTATCTCAAAACCTCTACTTAGAGGCCTTGCTTTTAACTTCTGCAACGTTTGCATCCGCCATGTCCAATCTTACACCAGCCATTACCTTTATCATGGCCGTTTCCTTTGGGTAAGTAAGCCTCACTTTTACTGAAATTATTTTTCCAGATTCTATTAATTCTATTTCTCTCTATGTTTCTATCAATTAGAAAATTAAATGGACTGCCTGTATTCCAAGTATTAATTAAATGGCTTCCAGAAAATTTCCCTTTTGTTTTTGGGATCCATTTCAACCTTATTTTTAATAACTAATACCCGATAACAAAAATAAATAAATATTGAATGAAAATAATAATGTGTTTTTTATGATTTAACATTGTATTTAGTTTGGAAAGATTAAATTTGAGAACAAAAGCAGGGAAGGCCAAGATACTGGGCACACTAACAGGAATTGGTGGGGCAATGGTACTGACTTTCGTTAAAGGTGTGGAAATCAAGATGGGGTCCTTCCACGTAAACCATTTGCATCACCAAAACGGTGCGTATCATCACACTAGTGTTGGTACAGGTAAGACCGTCTTGGGTGCTCTATTCGTCCTGGCCAGTGGCATCTCTTATTCTTTGTGGCTCATCATTCAGGTCAGTTAATTTGGTTTTGTAACCAACATGTTCGGTGCTACTGAATCGTATAAGGATATGTCAAGAGTATGCACTCAGATATATCTTAGAAATAGATATCTTGATTGGCTTATAGTCAATACTTCAATCACTGCGCACAAGAAATAAGTTTATAGCCAAGACTTGAGTGTGTGCACAGTATTGACAGTAATAGTAAATAGGTCAAAAGTGTGTACCTGGAGTCTTTAGCCTCTTATTTATAAAGATTACCTTCATAGGTTTGAGCATCTTCCACCCAGTTGATATAAAATCTGACTTGATTGATGGAGATAGAGATCTTATCCCTTGATCCTCTCTAGATTATATGTTTGCGATATCTCTATCCAATCTTGCTAGTGATGGGATTTTTAGGATATGGATCTAGTTCATAACACAATGTTTGTTAATTAATCTTGTATTAATTGCTTTATGTTTTTGCTTCCCTAGCTTCTGATATTATTATAACGTTAATATATATTCAATATTATTCACCTATATATTATTGGTTTGAATTGATTTTGGAATATCGTGGCACAGGCAAAGATGAGTAAAACTTACCCGAGTCATTACTCAAGCACCGCGTTGATGTCTCTATGGGGATCACTGTTATCAACTGTGTTTGCTCTTTGCCTTGAGAGGGATTGGAATCAGTGGAGGTTGGGTTGGAATGTTAGGCTTCTAACTGTAGCTTTTTCGGTATGCTATTCGCTTAATAATAATAACACATGCACGGGCTTTGAGCTATCATTAATTATATGACTAAATAATTCTAAACACTATTATAACTTCACACTTCTTTATTTTGCTTTTCCATATATTTAATAATGATAAGAAGAGGGGAGATATTTTTACTACCAACCCACTACCTCCACAATTACCATTGGATCAAAGAGAGAGAATACTAAAAAGTTTTTGAAAAAAGAAAAAATGTTGATCCAATGGTGATTATGAAGGTAGTGAATTGGTAGTGAATTTTTCTAGTAGTAAGAACATCTCCACTCTGATAAGAAATATATATATATATATATATTATATATATATATATATATATTAACTACTCCCCATTAAACTCGACTAGCGAGTGTGGGGTGAAGGAAATCTTTGTACGCAGCCTTACCCTTGCATAATTGCAAATAGGCTGTTTTCTGGATTCGAACTCATGACCTTTCCGATTCGCCCCCTTAAATATAGGTAATATATATGCATTAATTAAAATGTATGCTTTTCCTTTTGTAAATATAATGTAATAGAGATAATGTGAAAATATCAATTCATCATTGATTATATATTATTCTTATGTAGCCAATAAAGAGAAATCACGTGAATTGACTTGTGTAGGGTATAGTGGTTTCTGGAGTGATGGGGGCAGTGATTTCATGGTGTATACTCATGAGAGGCCCATTGTTTGCCTCTGCTTTTAGCCCTTTAGTGCTTGTGATTGTGGCCTTGGCTGGTTCCATGATGTTGAACGAGCAGCTACATCTCGGATGGTATATCTTCCTTTTTTATTATTTTCATAATAGTAATCATCCTAATCATGTTTATGTAGTGCATTACAGCTTACTTACTAGCCTGCAAAATGCAAATGATAAGTACCTAGTCCTGCAACTTCAATCTTTGTTACGTACGTAGGGTTGAAAATTGATTTACTACTGTGGTCTAAACAAAGTGGCAACTTAATACTACATGGAAAAATCTCTTGTTCAAAATAAAATATGAAATAGCTAACCTTCAAATAATGTATGTAATACCATTAAAATTCTTATATAAGAGTCTCTTCAAGTTGTGTTTTTTAAACTATTTTCCACTCAAGTTTAGGAATAGTGTCATTGTTTCAAATTTTCGAAATTAGTTATGTTAATAATATTTTTAGCCATGTTGATGATGGTTTGCTTAAACTATTTATTTATTTTTTTGTTAATTTCAGCATCATTGGAGCAGTGTTGATTGTGTGTGGCTTATACGTGGTTCTATGGGGTAAAAGCAAAGAGATGCAGAAGAAGAATCAATTAGTGCCATCACATAGCCCCCATGAATCTAATACAGTCGAAATATTTATTAGGTCTTCAGTAGAAAATAAAAGCAACCATAATAACAACAATACCCACGATAATGCTGCAAATGTGGTGAGGGATAATGAAGATTTATCAGCAGATAATGGACAAGAAGAGCATTGTGCACATGTACACAATTAGGGAGAAGAAAAAGAAGAATTTTTCGTAATACCTCCCATGCCCAAATATTCAATAGCTTGCCATCCGTTTCCGATCGCCCCAACATGTATTCTCTTAGTCTTTATGTATGATATATATTGCATCTATGTAAAAGCGTGCATTCAACTTTAACCTAAGAATGGATGTTGTATTTACCAAAAATTAAAATAAAGAAAAGAAATGGATGTGGTAACGTTTTGTTCAAAGCATATTTGGTTTTGTTTATTTGGCCGAGGGGGAGGGGGCGGAATTTATATTTATATTCTATTTCTATCAAATATCATTACACGTCAGATATGTAAAACAATAAAAATATATAACTATAAATTTTTTTTAAGAAAATTATATTTACATATTTTTTGTTTACAAACTACACTAAAGTATAATTTGTAAAAATTTATAAAAAAAATTTATAAACGAATTCTCCTTTTTTTGTGGTAAGAAACGTGGAGTGTGCAACTACATACGCAGTGGCGGACCCACTGCGGTCATAAAAGTTTTCAAATCAGTTTTTTTTTTAGTTGTAGGTCTCTTGGTTCAATATATATTACCAGTAAATATTATTTTAAGTCCCTAAGAAAAAACATGGTCCTCATTTTAGTTCCTTACAAAAAAAAAATTAGTCTCGAGGTCCCAAAAAAATTTAAGGTGGATCAATTTAGTTAAAATCGTGGTCCTCACAAATTCAAAAAAAACTTACATTAGTCCCTCAAAAAAATCAAAATGGATCCACTTTGAATTTCATAGGGATCAGATGGCTAATTTTTTTTATAATGGACTAAAGTGGGGACTGAATTTTTTGTTAGGGACCAAAAAAAATATTTCTTCTTATATTAGTTAGCAACGTAGCAATGCACGGAGATGATTAAAACAACGTAGCAACACAAATTGATTAGAAAGAAAACTTATTCTTCCTCTCCTGTCACATACCCATTCTCATGCTCTCTTCATCCTTTGTTTTCGTTTTCATTTTTATAAAAAGAGAGAATTGATTGTAGGTCTGACATTCTCAAATAAGTTAATATTTAGAGACGAGACCGTGATTTTGCTTGCCTTCTGTACAGGTAGTGTTGACTTTTTTATTCACCACTATAAAATAGAAATAGAATGGTGATGTATGGATACTGAAGTATATTCTCATATTTGTTTTGGAGGATTAGCAAGATTTAGGGGGGAAATAATTGGTCAAACTATTGCCTGCAGCTTGTTATGGAAGCAACTAGATTATGAGTGAGTTCAAGCGTTGATTTAAACTTTTTTTACAAAAAAAAAATTTCAAGGGCGCCGTCCCTGAACTCCCGCCACTAAATGTGCGGACATAAACAAATTTTTCTGGGGTCTGCCACTGTACATACGTGGTATTGTCAGTTTGAATGCGTAGATTATTGTATCTGCTTTTTATATAATTTTAATTAGATAAAATTAATGCTCACATTTCCAATCTTGTTCGCCATACATGCAAGCAAAATACTTTGAACAGAAAAAAAAATACTAGTAATTTATAAATTTACAAAAAAAAAAAATACTAGTGATTAGTGATTTATAATGTTTCAGCGAAACATTCCAGTTGAGCATGAATAAAAGAGGAACAGGGCACCAATCACTTTACCTAGAATCCACCAGTTGTTTCCTAGCCACACCGCACCTTCAAGGACAAGGAGACAAATCAGAGCAGCTGGAATCAAGAAAATATATATTTGTATAAAATTTGGAGCACTCCTGACATAAATCCACCAAATTATGACTTAATTATTTCACATCGCATTTGAAAAGTTAAAATAATGTCCTAGATAAGGGTATAAAAGGTCACGCGGCCATCAGGACAGCTCAACCTATATATTAGGTTAGACCTAAATTAATATATTTTGTAGAATATAGGTCATAGATATATTTTTAAAAGGCATAAATTGGACCTTTTAACTGTTACTTAAAATATATAGGTCAAACTCTTATCAAGCGGGTCCACGAGAATCATTATCAATGAATTAAGATTATACCGTCATGGATCTGATATTATGTCTCAACCAAAAATTTTAAAGCATTAATTAGGTTTATGGATTCTCGTATTTATATGCACTTCTTTTAGTCCATTACCAACTAATATATAAGTCATCGCATTTGAATATCCCAACAATTTCTCTCTCAAATGTGAAACTTAACATTGATATGCTTCCTCCCAACCGTCCAACATTGATATGTCCTCCTTCAACTGAGTATCATAGGGCCAAGTACTCAACTTGCCTCCTAACAAAACACCAGGCTAGCTCGAGTCCACCCTGACTGTGATATTAGAGTCAACCAGGCCCAGGAGGAGCCCATGGCGGAGGACCACCACCAATGGGCTAAGGCTATACCACCATATCTAATGGGTCTTACACCATGTCTCAACCCAAAATCATCTTAAGACATTATGGATCCTCGCACTTAGCTTATTATCATCCAATCCAATGTAGGACTTATCACATTAGAATATCCCAAGAGCTCAAACTCAATTCACTTCATTTACACTCAAATAATTTTAATTATTTCTTATTTTACCTTTTTCTTTTAGGTTGGTTTCCCTTCTCTTCCACGTCTCCCCAAAGCCGTCAACACGAGGCTGGTGGTATGACGCATGCTTGTATTATTGGAGTACAACAGCTGAACTTGCTTGTAGGAATATATACCAAAGGAGGAGAAAAAGGGTGCAGAATTAAGCGTGATGTAACCGAAAGGGGAGAGGGTAGTGTAGCATGTAGCAGCAAAAACTATCGCTTTCATTTCCAACACAAAGGCTTACGTGGCAATTGCCTAAGCTCAGCACATAAGTTATTGCTAATAATGGGACTGGCCAATTTTGCTTCTGTGGCTGCATTTGCTAGTGCATCAGCAGTTGATGGAATAGTTCATTTCAATTGGGCTGCCTTTGGAGTGAGTGGATGCTAACCGAAGGCGGAAAGCTACCAATGAAGGTGTTTGAGGTATTAATATAAAGTTATCAATGAAAGTATTTTGATTGAATTGATCTTTTATATGATACAGTTTTTGATTATATTGTTATGAATTTGAATTTTAGTGCTCCTGTTTTTTAACATAAATTTAAAAATAAAAATTAGACTGTCCATTTATTCACACTTCAAATTTATTGTGTTTTTCAAATTTATTTGGTTAATCGATTACTTAATTAGTCTGGTTCAAGTCAAATGGGACCATATGAGTGACAAAGCTCTTTCTATTAAGTTTTAATATAATTGCATGTAGGGACTCGAACTCGAAACCATTGATTATGTTGAAACAAACCCTTATTAGTTGATCGGTTGAGATAATGTGTTGAAGATATTAATATAAAACTTTAAAACCATTTATGTGATTATTATAAAATTAAATCGTTAACGCAATACCATGCATGCGTTGATACTATCAAATCAAGGCTGCTTCACTTGCATAATTTGTAGAAAGGTTAGACAAAGTATCCTTAAATTAATGTTTATTCCATAAAATATTAATTAGGTGCATGTCCATTAGACAGCCTTTCCCATCTCAGTTCTTTGTCCCTAGCTAGAATTTATAATGTATTTCTTAGTGGAATTTACTATAGAATGCATTCACATGCTTATTTAGTTAAAGAAGTTATCTGGCTCGGTTAATTATGTTACATTGTTTTATGCTAAAGGGTCAAGAAAAATATGTTTCATGCCTAATGTCTTACGGGAAAAAATGTTTGGCATCGAATCATTGCAAAAACTACAGTTCATTTAGAATTTTGATTTCCTTTTTTGAGTTCTGAAATTTCTATATTCAGCCACTTTCTATGATTGTGTAAAACACATAGTAACTAAAGTTGGATGCAGTGGTGGGAAATTGATTGCTTATAATATCTTGAGTTTACATGGACTTGCCACATTCTAATTTTTTTTCATCGAAAATTTTAATTTTAGGGACATCAAGTGTGCCAATATATTATATTGGTTGATGCAAATGGGTTCGTCAAGCTTGCAGATTTTGGGTTGGCAAAGGTTCCTTTGTTCAGCAAAATGAACTTTCTAAAATCAGCATTTTATCATTGCAAATCCCAAATGCTAACTGCTTGAAGTTGAAATTATACTGTTGGTTCTTTTCCCTTTACAGGCAACCAAATTGAATGATGTTAAATCAAGCAAAGGCTCCCCATACTGGATGGCCCCTGAGGTTTGTCTATGCTTGTAGCATATGTTTGATATAATTTCTTTAAATGGATGAACTATATGAGATGGATCATACGGGGCTGTCTGATTCAGTTTAGCACATATGCCAAATATTCCTACTTGCTGTATGAACATAAGTCTCAATTATAAGTAAATTATTCTATAGACTCATACGCTTCACTTGAGTTTCTTATACCAGACAGCATATCACCATCTTTAAATTCTTGTTTTTTGGTTCATTTGTAATTTAAGCAAAATAAAAAAATAAAAATTTAATATTACATTAGCTTTCTTAATGTGGCTATATTAACTTTGAATTGTTGGATCATAGGTTGTTAACCTAAGGAATCGTGGTTATGGACTAGCAGCTTATATGTGGAGCTTAGGATGTACAGTTTTAGAGATGTTGACACGGCAACCTCCTTACTTCATTTGGAAGGAGTATGTCTAACATTTCTCAATATCATCTTTTTTTACCTTTATATATTTTCCTTGATCGATTTATTACATAAACTGAATTTTCCTCTGTTGTTTTTGCTTGTCTACTCCTTTAAACTCAATATCATGTTTTTTCGATGCTATTTATCTAATACATTTCAATTCAGGATTTTAATTTACTCAGCTTCTTACTTCTCAGACATCAATAGTTTTGATTATAATCACAAGAGCCCACCATGCTGGTCCCTGCGGAGGGATTTCTTATGACTGCAGATGTGAAGTGAAGAGTAACAAGACTCTGCATTATCAACAGAGGTTCTTATGCTGTCAAGGAATAATATAAAATAATATAAATTGTCTTCCGCCCATTTAAGTTTTTGAGGAGAATACATTTCTTGACTTACGCAAGTGTACACCCACCAGGAAAGGCCTATGGTCATATAGTTGGCCATTTGGAGCTGAGTTGTTCGTTCTTCTGGTAACATTGCTTTTATTGCAGCCTTTCGATGTTCTTCTTGTCAAGCAATGTGGTTAATGCATTATCTACCTTTATGCTCAGTCACTGGATCCTATAGCAGCTCATGTTTTTGTAATTGTTTTTATGGGGACATTGTGTAGTCTCGGGTGTGGCCGGGCCAGTAGTTGCTAGTACTTATAGGCATGCCTCCTTTGATGTAAATACTAATAGCCATCCAAGAAAGGGAAGTAGGAATTTGACAAAGCAGCAGTTTTTAAGGTATTGATTTTTTGGGACTTTCTCTTCGATTAGTGCAACAGTGAACGTTCACGTTTTGATTAATTGCAGCACTTTCGTTGTAGGAAGCTACGATAGTGGATTTCTCAAGCTCAAATGACGTTTCCACCCGAAAATATGGACCTGTTGGGTCCTGAAAATTGCATACTGGTGTAATCCTACTTTCACTCATGATATTGATGACCTTTAAATCTGTTAGGACCCATTTGCAAGGTATGGGACTTGGAGTCCCACATTGGTTGTATGGGCAACTAATGTGGGGTTTATAAGGCCTTGGGCACTCTCACCCTTTGAGCTAGCTTTTGGGGTGGTGCACCTCAAGGTTCTTATCAAATGGTATCAGAGCCTTCCACTATGTCTCTCAGTTGCAATCGAGCGGCGCGGGTGGTGACGCCGGCATTGCAGTGTTCGCCCGGGGCTAGTAAAAGACTAGCGCAAAGCTAGCCCGCGTGGGCGCCGGGACTGCGGAGCGTGGTGAAATGTTAGGACCCATTTGCAAGGTATGGGACTTGGAGTCCCACATTGGTTGTATGGGCAACTAATGTGGGGTTTATAAGGCCTTGGCACTCTCACCCTTTGAGCTAGCTTTTGGGGTGGTGCACCTCAAGGTTCTTATCAAAATCATTCAAATTGCAGCCACGATTTTTAAGTTTATCTCATAATGTATTATGGATCTCATGTGTAATCCTACTTTCTTCTAGTCAATCTTACATGAATCAAAACCATTTTACTCGGTCTAAAACAAGTATTTAACATACTAAAATGCTATCTACGCAACACCTAACTGTCGTAGCCAAAATTTCGACTCATGGCAAGTGCACGTATTAAGGTATTCAAAACATGCTTTAACCTGCAAGCCTATATTCAACAATAATTATATTAAACAAAACAAAATCCAAACAATTCCCCCCACATTTCGGCAGAATTACGCCTATATTTCTAACATCCCAAAATATCACAAACATTTCTAATATAATATACACAGAAACACTAAATATGTTTCAAACATTAGAAGTTAATACAACCCAAAATGAAGGAGGACTTGCAAACAAAGCTACGGGATGAACGGCAAGTTCTAGCAACCTTCTACTCAGCTGCCCAGTGATCTAGATAGAAAAATAATAGAGATCATAATAACTACAATGAATGAGAGGGGAACAATAGTGTGAGCGATTTACTCTTTTCACAACAGAGCTATGAACATACAAAGACCATGAAAGTAAATAATATAACAAAATAAATAAAATAGGTGTGCGGGCAAGAAATTAAGAAAAATAAAATGGTTTGTCTATTTCTTACATATCAGACTTCTGCTTGTCGAGGCTAAATGGTAAGTAACACTGTATATTGCAGAATTTTATTTTACTTTGGCTGAAGTCAAGGTATATTAATACAACAATTATTGTTGTCGTCTAAACTCATGCTTTAGAAAAAATAGAAAAATCCTTAATCCTTACTACCCAATTTTACTTACACATCACTCGTATTTTTTATAATCGCAGAATTAGAGTATCAAGAAAACGAGATCAGTTGAGCAGTAATCATGCAGTGAAAATTATATAAATGTAAGGAGAGGTGAGGAGATGTGTTTGTGTGTGGCTATCAGTGAAGTATGAAAAAGAAAAAGACGCTATAGAGATAGTACATACACAATGCTGCACTTAATTGTTTTCTCGAATTGGTTGCATTGAATATATTACCAAATTGAGATGGGAGTGAACCCCGGTATGCATCTGAGATAGCAGATGCAGTTTTCGATAGATCCCTCTTCATCTCTGAAATTTTGGACGCCACATGTACTTTGTACTTCAAGATTGAATCGACCACCTTCAGGAGTTCGTGAGCATGCATTTGAATTTCTTCTTCACTTTGTTTAATCGTTTCCTGCAACTTCAATTCCGAGGCCTTGACAAAAACAAAGAAGTTCATTGGATACAAAATGATCCAGTAAATAAGGTTAATTTTAACCAAAAGGGATCATCCCAGTTATTGAAAAAAAGGAAAAACTCATTTATGTCTTCATTCAAAACATATTTACTTTATAATTATGCTGATTAAGCAAAGAAAAGGGTGGTATATGTTCCGTGTTGAATTATTCCCCGTTACTAAGCTTGGCAATAAAAAGGGGGCGAACCGGAGCAGTGGTAAAAATGTTCCTTCATGACTGAAAGGTCATGGGTTCGAATCCAGGAAACAGCCTCTTTGCAATTATGCAAGGGTAAGGCTGCGTACAAAGATTTCCTCCACCCCACACTCGCTAGTCGGGTTTAACGCGCAGTGGTTTACTAAGCTTGGCGATAGTTAGTTTGGCTTATGAAATTGATATAATTAGCCTTTTGTGTGCTTTATTCTTCCCTTTCCCTGTTTGATTACAAGATATGCCAAAGCTTATGCTGAAAAGGAATGGACTCAGCACGGTATGCAAGTTAAGAACATATTGGCCATTTTCCTCACAAGCACTTGCCCAAAGACATGAACACGAACTAGGTAGAGGACAACACCTAAGCAGCGAAAATAAAGGACTATAGCAACTACTTTTGTGCTTAAAATGCTCAAAAACAATTGCTCATCCGTGCACTGCATGCAATATGAACCCCAAAATATAAAAAAACGATTGAAACACGAGAAACTAGCATGTTAGATAAGATTTAACTCAAAAACTTAACTTGCAGAAAATAGGCCAATCAATATGGAGTTTGCAGTGAATATTGCTTGCCTCTCCAAATTGATTCAAACACAACAGAGAGGACAGCAACAGACAGATTCCACATCTTCATGAATTCTTAGCATATCAAATTCAATTGATTATTGAAGAAATGTATAACATCCAAGGAATTACCTTAAGAACCTCAGCTTTCTCTCTTTCCCTAATGCCCAGGTCATATTGTCGAGGCTAAATGTTAAGTAACACTGTATATTGCAGAATTTTATTTTACTTTGGTTGAAGTCAAGGTATATTAATACAACAATTATTGTTGTCGTCTAAACTCATGCTTTAAGAAAAAATAGAAAAATCCTTACTACCCAATTTTACTCACACATCACTCGTATTTTTTATAATCACAGAATTAGAGTATCAAGAAAATGAGATCGGTTGAGCAGTAATCATGCAGTGAAAGTTATATAAATGTAAGGAGAGGTGAGGTGATGTGTTTGTGTGTGGCGATCAGTGAAGTATGAAAAAGAAAAAGATGCTATAGAGATAGTACATACACAATGCTGCACTTAATTTGTTTTCTCCAATTGGCGGGTTGCATTGAATATATTACCAAATTGAGATGGGAGTGAACCCCGGTATGCCTCTGAGATAGCAGATGCAGTTTCCGATAGATCCCTCTTCATCTCTGAAATTTTGGACGCCACATGTACTTTGTACTTCGAGATTGAATCAACCGCCTTCAGGAGTTCGTGAGCGTGCATTTGAATTTCTTCTTCACTTTGTTTAATTGTTTCCTGCAACTTCAATTCCGAGGCCTTGAAAAAAACAAAGAAGTCCATTGGATACAAAATGATCCAGTAAATAAGGTTAGTTTTAACCAAAAGGGATCATCCCAGTTACTGAAAAAAAGGAAAAACTCATTTATGTCTTCATTCAAAACATACTTACTTTATAATTATGCTGATTAAGCAGAGAAAAGGGAGGTATATGTTTCATGTTGAATTAAATTGATATAATTAGCCTTTTGTGTGCTTTATTCTTCCCAGTTTCCCTGTTTGATTACCAGATATGCTAAAGCTTATGCTGAAAAGGAATGAACTCAGCACGGTATGCAAGTTAAGAACATATTGGCCATTTTCCTCACAAGCACTTGCACAAAGACATGAACACAAACTAGGTAGAGGACAACACATAAGCAGCAAAAATAAAGGACTATAGCAACTACTTTTGTGCTTAAAATGGTCAAAAACAATTGCTCATCCGTGCACTGCATGCAATATGAACCCCAAAATATAAAAAATGACTGAAACACGAGAAACTAGCATGTTAGATAAGATTTAACTCAAAAACTTAATGTGCAGAAAATAGGCCGATCAATATGGAGTTTGCAGTGAATATTGCTTGCCTCTCCAAATTGATTCAAACACAACAGAGAGGACAGCAACAGACACAGATTCCACATCTTCAAGAATTCTTAGCATATCAAATTCAATTGATTATTGAAGAAATGTATAACATCCAAGGAATTACCTTAAGAACCTCAGCTTTCTCTCTTTCCCTAATGCCCAGGTCATGATCTGCCTGCTGGACATCCTCCAGCATTTTCTCAGCTTCAGCAAAACATCTGCCTGTGTACTCGTCTGTTTCCTTCTTTATCATGTTCCTTTGAGCTTCAATCTGGTGGATAAATCAGCAAGCAGCAGAAAAGAAAATCAAATAACAGTCTTCACAATGCAATGGTTTCTGTTTCCAATACCCATCTAACTCCAACAAAGAGTGTAACATAAATGCCAGAAAAAAGCAAGAAAGTAGAAATGTGTTTTTTTTTTCTTTTTTTTGTCACATACTATAATATTCTCCACAAGTGTAAAGATGGCAACTAAAAGATGTTTGTCATTTAAACCTATATTTTGGACTTGACCATTGTCCTGTTAAATAGCAGCAGACATGGAGTCATACTCAAGTCAGAATGCAAGTTTGATGAGTGAATTCAATAAAAAAACATAAATAAGAATTAAGTATGCCTAAAAGAAAGTAAAATATATTGGTTTGTACAAGTTACAACTTAGAAAACACAGTCATCAATGCAACAACATTGCCCCTGCACCAGCTTCCACATTCCAATTCTTGCATGCCAGCACCAACTCTGGCCCCACTCATAGGCCTATTTGCAAATATTTTTAACTTTCTAGTAGAAGAACAATTCTCTCTCTCTCTCTCTCTCTCTCGCTCTCCCTCTTTCTGTACATCAAGTTCATTATTATCATGGCCTGGCCATTCATCAATCCAAACTAAAATTTTAATTGCTATTCCACTTATACAACAAAAAGTTGAAATCAAAACTTGCACACTGTACAGTAGGCATTGCTATGGACAAAGTATTAACATCAGTGTATAAAGCACTAAACATGATGCACTTACTTCATCAATGCGTGAATGCACTGCTGCAAGTTGATTTCTTTTCCCCTCAAGCCTAACAGCATTTTCGCTGAACTTTTGCTGATGGGAAATCAACTCTTCCAATTTTTCCGTAGAACTTTTCTTGATGTCATCAGTAAAGGAGTTAAGTGAAGGCTTCAGTGTCAATTTGTGATCAATACCCATTATCTCAGCAGGCGTATTTCCCTTGGGATTCAACTGATGCTCAATACCATTACCAATCTTCAACCTAGAAGCACAGGGAATGAAGGGTGTGTTGGTGAGATATACAGTACAATTAAATACTAATATTAGTAGAGTTGATTCAAGAGACGCCAACATCTTAACAGAAACAACATTAACAACACTGTATAGTTGTTGCATATGACATTGAGAAGAAGAAAAGAACCTCTTAAGGGCCTGGTTGCAATCCATTGCGAATGCCTGAAGGTCCTTGAATTTGTGATCAAGACTAGTGTCAAGTTCCCAACACTTGTCCTCCCAAGCATTCCTAGCAAGCTCAGCTTCCCCAACATCTCTCTCCGCAGTCTGCAACTCCCTCTTCATCCTCTCCACATCCCTTGCATTGAAAGTCTGAAGCACCACCCTCCTCTTCAGCTCCTCATTCTCCTCGCAAATCCTCCCATTCTCCTCCATCTTAACCTCCAACTGCTTCTCCTTCTCCGCCAAAACCTTCTCCCCTTGCTGAATCCTTGACGCTAACTCCTCAATAATCATATGGAACTTGTTCACATCATCTTCTAGCAAACCATTTTCCTTCTCGAGCACCTCCTTCTGAGAAGGAGCAGACCTGAGCCTCTCGAGTTCCGCCTCCAAATTCGAAGCGGTTTCCTTAGCAGCCTTAAGTTTCTCCTCAGCAAGAGCCTTCTCGTGTTGGATCTTCTCCCTGATCTTGCGGTCGAGTTCCTCGACGGCGTCATCGTCGCCTCTGATATAATGCATGTAGCTACTGAGTTGGTACTGATGGAGGACGTTGGAGTGAACGAGAGAGTTGGTGGAAGAAGAAGAAGAAGAAGAGAGGTGGTGATGGAACTTTGCAATCTGGACCATCCAGTGGATAAGGGCAAGGAATGTGGGCCATTGATGAGGAGGGGCTGCGGGGGATTTGAGGATCGATTTGTTGATTTTGAAAGGGTAACCTAAGCGCTTAAGGAGGAGGGGGAGATCGTCTTCGAGCTTTGGCATGTCGATGAGTGAGAGAAGGAATTTCAGGGTTTCGTGGATGTCCTTAGCGGAAGGGAACGTCGACTTGAAGGAGATTGGGAAGTTGTGAGAGGAAAGGAACGAGTTGATGCTTGCCACCGCCGATTGCTGGAACGAACGATCTTTGTAGAGGTCTAAGGTGGGGCGGCCGCCGCCGATTCCGACGGAGGAAGGGCGGCTGCTGGCGTCTGAGTCGCGGGGGCGGTGCTGGAAGTCCAGAGGCGACGGCAAGATGAACGACTCTTTCGGTTGCCGACGGCCGGTGTTGGGTCTCATCTCCACAGGGCCCTCCTCGCCGGTAATCTTAAATTCTCTTGTTTTTTAAACGGGGAGAAGTATTTCTTGACATAAATTTCATTTTAAGAGAGAGATAAATATATAATTTTATTTTTTATTTAAAAATTAAATTAAAAAAAATCACTCACTTACTCTCTCCCATAATTTTCATTCTTATCTATTTCTCTCTTAAAATGATATAACTTATGTCATTTAAAATGACAAACATGAAATCCTTCTTAAATAACTATTTTCAATTTTAATTTCGTCTTGATTATTCTTTTAATTTTTTAATTTTTTTGGTAAAATTATTCTTTTAAATTTTTTTTTTTTTATATTACATGGGAATTGAACACACACCTAACACACACCCCACCACTAGGCTAATCCTAGTGGATTCTTTTAATTTTATCTATTATTATAGTATGTGTTTTTTTTTTGTTAACTTTAGGATTGTTTTTTTTTTTTGGTAGATTGTTAACTTAGAATCAATTTATTAACGATGACCATTAATTCATGTTTTTGAATGAAATTTTTTAATATTTTTATTTTATCTAGGAAAAGAAGATAATATTTTAAATTTTCTGTTTTCTGTCTTTTTTAATTTAAGAAATTTATAAAATATGATAATATTTTGTATTAAAAATATAATTAATTATGTAGATTTAATACACGGTTAAGATTTATTCATTATTAGTAAATTAATCTAAGTTAACAGAAGAGGTTAGTATAGCGGGAGTTAGAATTTAAAAGCTAATTAAAATAAAGTTAGAATTTCACGATTTTCAGTTTCCCGCTCGCGCTGGTTCGGTTTATCAGAATCATAATTATTGTCATTTCTCACTTTTGCCCCTGTTGAAGTCCCTGAAATCTCACTTTTGCAAATCATCACCACCTCACGAAAATGAGTAACTAATTTAACGTTGTGTAAAAATTATAATTAAAAAAAAAAAGACGATTGGGAGATAATTTTGTAGACAGAGATCTAGTGACGTTATTGGTTGTATAGTAAATGAGGGAACAATGAGTCAAATATGATCAATTTGTATTGTAATTGAGAGTATAGTAAGTCAAATAAAATCAACAAATCCAGAATATGGAATATTCAGAAAGGGAGAAATTCTTAAGTAAATATCCCTTACTATATTTAAAAATTGATATGTAAATATGCCCCTTACTACCATAATATAGACAATCTTAAGCGTTTTTAATGTTGAATTCCAAATCAATACCAGTTGGTCCTCCCTAAGAATTTCTATGAAGAATAAGCACTAACATGAGCACAAAAAATGTTCTGTCTGATTTAATTTTTAAAAAAAATTCATTGACAGATTGTAGTGAGCAAGTAATAATTCTAGCTATGAGCTTTTCAAATGATCAAATATTAGCACATAACCTTCATGCATGCAATGAGAGTGTTCACGTTTGGGTGATTGGGATTCTAAGGAGACATATCTCATGTGTTAGAGCATCTAGCCATAGTAATATGATTCATGCATGCAATGAGAGTGTTCACGTTTGGGTGATTGGTGTACAATTACTTTTGAGTTGTTAGTTGTTGTTGCGAATTTCTTGCGAAGAAGGCGTAGCGGAAGACTTGAGTGGAAAAGAAATGGATTAGGCCTAGAAGAAGAGAGCTCTGATACCATATCAGAGGTTGAAAAGAGAGAGAGAGAGAAAAAGAGAAAGTGAGAGAATGTCATTTCTGTTATTATATTTCTGAGATGAGTAAACTGATGCATTGAAGCTTTATTTATAGAGCTGAAGCCTGACTCAAATCTGAGTTAGCAACTAACTCACCCACTAACAACTAACAGACTAGATAGTGACAGAAAAAGATATACTCTTTGTCATAGATATATAAAATTATTAATGTAATCTCACCCATTAGTTTTTTACATGGTATCGAGCCTCGATGTCCTGGGTTCAATTCTCGTTACCTCCCATTTTCTTTGTGAAATTTCTTAGCACAGATAACCCGAGCTTGATGCATCATCCACCTTTCAAGCCCAAACCTAATCAGCTTTCTTGTGAGGGAGCGTATTAGAAATATATAAAATCATTAATCTAACCTCACTCTTATACAACCAAAAGTACAGTAGCGAACAGACAAGCTAAAGTATAAGCTAATCTATCTTCTAATATGAGTACAATGTGTTTTGGAAGAATTAAGTTTGAAAGAATGGGTTTATTATTTGGGAATGTTCACCCAAAAGTAATATCGGGATAAGATCTTCTGCTTAAATTATTGACTATTTATTGTTGTTGCGTCCTTCAAAGCCTGGACATGTGCTTTTATAGTGTACTTGAGCTTGTTGGTACTATTTCTTCGTTCCACCCCTGTTTGGAATTTTATTCCTAGATTGAATTCTTAAGTGGTCTTAGACTCTTAGCGCCAGCGGTCAGCCTTTTACTCTGTATTTTGTTGGGAGGAGTATTACTTTTCGTGGCAATGGCGGTGCTTATGGCTGTAGCAATTGTGCTGGATACCAAAAAAAACAGCATGTAACATCTTCATCTCATGTAGTTAGAATCTAAAGATGCAAGGAAGTTTTTAAAATGATGCTCATGATGCTGTTGGAGTTTTATATCTGGAGGCATGAATTTCTTCTGGATACATGCCACATATTTTATTGTAAAAAAAATCTATGCATAGAATACCATGAGCTTTTCTTATTAGTCCGTATGCATCGGTCAGCTGGGGAGTTTATATTTGCTCTTAAAGCATTAAAAGTTTCATAATAGAAAGTTCTTCTGTCCACAAGTAAGTCTGCAATATGAGTGGAATCTAGTGTTGATTGTTAGACATTGAGAGCTTGATAACAGTTTCTTGTTTGTTTCAAGCAAAACATGGGGTCATTATCATCATTGTTCATCAGATATATTGTTACTATGAAAAGCAGGGTATTGGGTTAATCACAAAGTCTGTCATTGTGCTTTAATAACTAATTCTTTGAAAAGAAGGTAAGAATATATCTGATGGACCACAACTGTAAGTGCATCACAGTTTACATAATTTAGAGAAAGACAAAATGTAAGAGTCATATAATTCTGAATTCAGAATGTCTGTGAACTTCTAGGAATGTTCCTCCTGATGGGTAAACTAAAGAACAACAGAAATTTGATATAACAGATTTTGATATACTGAGGTTATTATTTGTAATGCACTTGCAGTGTCTTGCGGAGTGCAAAGACATCTTGAGCGGCTTAATCCTGACTCTTAGCTTTTTTATCTCTTCCTTTGTTAGTCTTCTTTTATCAATTGAGCTGGTTATGACCTTATTATGCTAATAATACTGCAACAGGTGTCTAAATTACTTGCTGTGATGTATGTGGTTTCTGCCTTGAGTGAGCAATTTTCTCTGACATCTTTTAGCAAAGCTTTGGGTGAAAATTATTGGTCTTCATATTTCCACCAAGCTTCTATTGGAACTCATCTTACCTGCCAGTTTCTTTCACATCTAACTGGGAGATGCAAGGTACAACTACTTGTTGATGTTTAGGCATATCCACTTGTTTATCAATATGTGGAATTTCATCTATGGCTTCTATTATAAACACTGATTGCTGGTTTGGCAATTAGGAAATTTCTCGTGAATTTGTGCACTTATTATTATGCATACTTTTCAGTAAATTAGTACCTTTTTGGTTTTTTGTTATTTCCTCATCTAAGTAGCTTTTGATTTCGATGTTATAGGCTGTTCCTTAGTATAGTTTGCTGGCATGAGTAATGCATTGTAGGGCTTGCACCTACGCTTTGCACATTTCATTAGATGGTTAATTAATGGTCCTGCCCATATATATAGCACAAGAACTCTACTTAGTTTTTTGGAAAGCTAAGCAGTTAGTGAATCTAAAGAGTGATTGCTATTGGTCGACCATGGTTGAACTCTTGTTAAACTGTGGGGTTAAAAATGACATTTCTAATGAATATACGACAAAATATCTAATTATGAAAATTATCAATAGAGCCTACCTTATGTAATTTAGACCCACAGATATCATCATATATCTCTCGTTTTCTCTTGATCCTAAGAAGTGCATAATTATCTAACCCAGCTAGTTAGTGGTACCAGTTAAATGCAGCAGTTCTCAGGGGTTGATTGGACTAGATCTTGGATTCGTTCCAGGTTTCTTTTTTCGGAGTTGTGGGTCATGTCTGGTGTTCAGAACAATGCTTATGCTTTCTATAGGAGCAGTAACTGTCCTTTTGACACCCCTCCGTTTGTCCTTAGCAGAAACTGAAATAGTATATGGAATTAGGATTCTTTTACAACATTGTAATTCAAAATCAATCTAACACGAGCAAATAACATTTTATAGAATGAAGTTTTTGCAAAAGTCTACTGTTGGATAAAAACTTTGCATCTCACATATAGTGCTGATGAAATTTCATATCAATCCAAGATTGTTTTATTTCACTGATATATATTGAATTTCGCATCAACTGGTTACTCTCGTTACAAGTAGGGAGCGGTGAAGATCAAACCCGGTACACCGAAGCTCTGATACCATGTAAAGAACCAATTTAATCAAAAAGGCTTAAGTTGTTTGGTGAGGTAACATTAATAATTTTATATATCTCAACATTATCCATTCGCAAGCAATGATCTGCTTAATTAATTGTGCGCTCTCCTGAAATAAGGACAAAAAACTTAGTTTTTCAAAACAAAAGATCCAATAACATTCTTAAAAGTTCAGAAATTCAAGAACGTATATTTTGTTGGGGAAAACATAATAGTAGGAATGACAACATTTAGAGCATTTCATGATAACAAAGAGAACCTTGAGTTTAAGATTGGTTCTGATGGAAAGGGTGAAGGCTGCTAAAGTTACTTCGAGCACTGTACCACTATTTTCACCAAATCCATCTCTACTCTTTTCAGATATAAAACTGCAGCCAGGACACAGTGAAATTTAGAGATTTATCATCACAAGTAGCACAAGATGAAATTGGCAGAACAGAAGGTCTAATCTTTCAACCTACTGAGATATCTTAATACAAACAATATGGCGAAAAACAAACTTAGAAACTACTCTTCAGTATTAATGTGACAAGTGAAAATTCTACTGTAAAAGAGAACAGATCCACATACTAGACAAGTGACAAGAGGAACAAAAACCCTTTCTTTCATAAAATTGAATAGCTGACATTGAGCAAAATAAAAAGACATATATGCCACAAATGCAGGACTTTACTCAACCTAAATAAATTTGGATATTCACTGGATGTACCTCGGACTAGATAGCATAAGATGACAAAGGCTATGCTGTCATATCTAACCAGATCTCACCAACAAGAAAATATTTTAGGAAACCAGACAAATCCAAAACATTATATAAGTTACATGACATCAATTTACCTTGCATTAAATTAATTTCCAGCTTCATAGACCCTAAAAATCCATGCATATAGAAAACAATAGAACAGGGTTCACTTGACCTATTATGCAGGTAAAGGAACACAAAGAAATCTTGTTCTATTAATTTATTACAAGTACACTTATTGGACATCAAGCAAAGCCTGTAACTCCAACTCAGCATGGTTGGCAAGTTTGTAATCATATATCCATTTGGCAGGTTTCCATAACTTTTTTTGCTTATTTTTTTTAATCTCAAATAATATTATATAGGAATAAAAGATCCTCAAATGAATAGCAGCAGGCGCAGCTTCTAACTTCTGTAATGAGGCTTTGGTGAAAGTAGGCAGAAACTGTAACCTTGGACTCATAAGCCATAACATCCTTTCAATGTCAAATGCATAAGTACAACCAGCACCCTTTTTTCATTTTTTCTACATCAAGACATGGCATCTATATTAACAAAATTGTTGTGATCTCGTCAATATTTATCAGAGACCTGACAGCTTAAAACCTCGCTTCACACCCTATAAAAATCAGTTTCTCTGAACTGAGGAGTACCCTTCTCCTTAAGCAAATTCGTTATCTATAAAATCATGACTGAGGTTGTCATGAAAATTCGATGGTTCGACCACATATAGTGCCAAAACAAGATTGCCTTGCCCGATTGCTACGTGTCAATATCAAACCCCTTTGTCCAAACAGGGATGCAGTATATTAAGATCCCAAAAGAGAATGAGACACATAATGTAATAATAGCATAGGCATACGCTCTCCAAGGATGATTGCTTTCTCTCATTGCATTATACTCAGCAGCGAAAGTAGAGACAGTACTCAGACACCCCATCATACCAAACTGTATTCCTGCTACAACAGTATCACAATTCCTGGTGTTCACCTGCATCAAACAAGTAAATACTGGCCGTTACCTCCAAAATTGTGATGCAAGTTCTCTTGACTTTTATTGGGATATAAGATCAAGATTCTCAAAAACAACATAGGTAAGAGCAAACACATTTAGAGCTAAGTAGTTACAATACAATGCAATTAAATAAAGAAAAAGGTGCTTGCATAGATTTTTATCCTCACAAACTTCCATACAAGCCATTAGATAACACATTGGTTCGGATAAGTACACCTTAGAATCTGTGAGAGGCTTGTGAGATAAAATCGATGCAAATATCGTTAAGAGAAATAAGGGCAACAATCTAGATGGTATCTCTAAAGTAGAAGTTGAAAGATAAGAGGTAAATCCTACTCAAATATAAAGACAGATTCTATCACTACTTGCTTAGAGATTAACCAATGAAGTCAGACATGGGAGGATTGGAACATGAACGATGACAAAGAAACTTACTGCATTCTTCACACTAGCAAGTGCAGCCATAACACAAGCAGCTGATACGTTGGCAATTAGAGTCCCAAATGGAATCCATTTAAGCAATCCTGCAGTTCCTATCCCATGTCCATTGAGCCGCGCTAAGAACCATCTAATCCACACACCGATAGGTCCAACCATGCATGCAAACCATAACTGAGCAGCACTGCCACCATGTTTGAACTCATCCTTTACTAATGCTCCACTGACACCCCATAGTATGCCCAATATAAACAAGAACATCACCATAACTATCAACTGACGGCGGAAGCTGTCTACTTTGAAGTTGATCTTAGAGCAACCATTTCCTGAACTCATGTTCAGCCTGTTCAGGAGCCACCTGAAACCCTTGGCAGTTTCAATCCCAAATATGATGGAAAAGGCAACAAGAAATAAGCCTGAAAATTTCCAATGGTAAAACAAAATTCATCTTATCAATTGAGCCATGCAGAGGGGACAAAAAATCAAATTACCTACTTGGGGTAAATATGAAAATGGAAAAAGAAAAATAAAAAACTTTGAATGAAACAGTTATAAACCTGTAACTATCAAACACCCTTATTAAATGCACTTATTTACCTAAAAGAAAGCCAAGTGCAGAGAAGAGCCAGTGGCCGAAAACACTGAGTTCAAGCATTTTTTGATTCCAACCACTGAAGGTTGTGAGGCTCCCTAAGTAACCAGTTGTAATTGCTATGGCTAGATGCTCTGACACATGAGATATGTCTCCTTTGAACACAACTCCAAACCATCCCATTAAAAATGAACCAATCTGGAACGAAATGTAAAAAATTAGCATTAGCATGTTATCTGAACCAGCCTCTATTTGAATGAACTTCAAAACAGACTTAAATTTCACTTTCACCTAGAAGCAGTTTGAAACTTCTGTCAGATTGACCGTGTTAAAGCAAGATTCAAAACTGATTTGCAATTGTGTTTCTATAGATAAAGGACTTAAGTTTCACTTGACAGCAAATTTAAAATGTCAGTCAGATTGACTGTATTATATCAGATTCAAAACAAATTTTCAATTGAGCACCCTGTAGATTAAGGATTTAAGAAGTGCAGAGCACACAAGCAGAAAAGGAATATCTACTTCAAGCTCAAAAGTCAGAACATTCCTATTTGGCCTCACCTCCAGCTTAAAAGGTGCCACAAATTTTCTCTGTTGATAGAAAAGCAGTAGATAAGCAGAATTAAATATACATTGTGCTTTCCAACATTTTATTATCATAATTTCTGGAAGTTATGTTCCCGGCCAAACAATTCTGGAGTGTTAGTCTTTGTGAACACACACATAATCTGTATGTACCAAAACACAGAAAAATAATGAAGTTGGAAAAGGGAACACACCATATTAGAAGGAAGGTCAAGGTAAAGAATAGTTTGGTCGCTTGTCACGCCGGCAACCCCAGGGCCAAATAACTTTTGAAGTAAATATCTTGTTAAGACCTGCATAGTTATTATGACAATTTGTGTATTAGACTTTTGCGGATAACTGCTTGTCCTAACATGAAATTCGACAATAAAAAATATATCATAGTGCCAATAACAGCTGAAAAATTGCCATAAGCTCTAAATTACAACCAAAAGAAATACGAATTAAGACTATGAAAAATATAATTAATCCATTCTGCACCAACAGGAAAACATGATACACCTAACATTATTTATCAGCTTCCCAGTGGATGAGAAGCACGTGCTAATGGTACACCGAAGTACTTAAATAAATTTATCGTAGACTAGCACATAGATGGAACTTGGATTATTATTATTACTGTTTTGTCTTGAACTAACTACATATTTCAATAATTAAAGTACCGTGCCTTCTTCATCATTCATTATTGTATGGAAATATTGAAACTGCACCAGAACTGATGCGGTAATGCAATCATAAGTATATCTAACAAGTCAAGGTAAAAGTTTAGCATATTATTACCCCAAGAATTCCAAAAACAGCTAAATGAAGCATACATGAAATATAGTCCAGCAACTCTGGCAAGCCTTTACGAGGTTCCTGAAAGTAGATAACAATGTGTAAGCTACAATACATGACAATATTTGAAATTATCTACAAATATGATTAATTAACAAACAAAAGACAGAAACCAAAAAGACATGAAAGGTGTTGAAGAGAGCTAACTTGCTTTGAATCTTCAGAACCCACAATTGTATCGGTAGGAAGAGGCCTAACAGAGGAGTTAGGATTGGAGAAGGAAGGGTATGGTTGCAACCTGTGCTCCTCTGGAATGGAAACAACAGCTCCATTTTCTGAAGTGTTATCAAAAGACAAGCGTAAACTGCTACTCTCACTGAACCTTCTACTTGGAAGAGCTCGATCCCCAATGTCTCCAGCCTCTGAAACACTTTCACACTCAGCATCATTATCTATCTGATGGCTTGATATGCTCAATGAACGCCTTCTCATTGAAGAACAAGAACCTGCACTGCTCATTCTCTTCATGTCAAAGCTAAAGACAAGCACAGGACTTGTTTCTACTTTGCTACCTCCTAAAACTGCGTTGAACATTCAACTAAATACCAGTTTGACTCATGCAACTGCCACCATTTCTGACCTTGTGTTTTTGCTATTTATTTTTCATGTGGTATCAATTAGATGACTGAATTCTAGGCACTTTGACAAGTTTGAGTAACAATTTGCTTCTTACCCATTTTATTATATTTATATCTTAATAATTTTCCCTTGATTTAATAAACAAAAAATAAACAGTTTCTACCCCAAGATAAAGAAAATTAAACAAATACGTTGTAATCAATTTGAGACGGGATGCATATAAATCCACAAAAGATGACTTATGGATTACAAGGATAAACATTTGGAAAATACCCCCAAAAAAAGGCAATAACGTAAGTTACAAGCAATAATCGATGATGTCACCAAATCTGTACCTGTCCTGTAGAACGAATTCAATGGTTAAAATTTGAAGTAATCGAATCTAGCTCAGAAAATATTTTTGGTTCGGTTTTTACAATATTATTTTTAGAAGGGATTTAAATATTTTTATTTTTAATGTATCTCATATTTTGAATTAATTACATAACCAACAAAGTCAAAGTTTGTAAAAATACCAAAAAAATTAATTTACTTTAAAAAGATAATTAGAGTTGTTGGCTTAATTAAAAAAATAAAATTGAAGTCATCGTTTTTTATTTTTTGGATTTGAATTTGAGGTCATCTATGACGATACGCAACAGGAAATTCAGTCAAGACGTTTAATGCTGTTCTAAAAGAACAAAAAAAAAGGTATAAAATATCAGCGAGATCCCGTTTGACGTGAAAATAAATGTGAAGCGGTGAGAAATGAGGATCGAGGATAACAGCTGTGGTCGATAATAAGAGCCACCACCTGAAATAGAATTCTTCCAACCATGCACCTGATCTTACAAATAAATAAATAAAAGCAATTTTGCAATTTTTTTGAATTAATGTCCTCACAATTTCTTATACACATAAAAATATATAAACAAGAGAAAAAAAAATTATGAACCTCATATTTTTATGAGAAAAGTGTTTGTTCTTTTAAAGGACATAACTTATATCTTTCACTCTCACAATGAAGTGAGATCTACATCTTTATATTTTTTTGTCCACTCTCTCCTCCTTTATCTATTTTTTTTCTCACTTAAAATAACACAACTTTACATCCTTTAGAATGATACACAATTTTCTCTATTTTTATAAATGTAAAAATATAATATAGATTTACCAAAAAAGAAATATATAATATAGATTACAAAAAAAAAGAAAGAAGTATAATATAAGAAATGTTATTTTTTATTAAATTTATTTTTACCTAGGGCATGCAATATACATGAAAACACTTGGTACGCGGTATTCTTCAATATTTTCCGGAAATTTTAAATTTTAAATTTTTAGATATTATTGTAAACTAAAGGTGAAAATTATATTTCTGAAAATCGAAATTCTCGGATAAAAAAAAATTCTCATCTACTTAACACCTTCTTATATGATTTATAAATTTATCATTTCTCTTTGAAATAAGACTAAAATTGAAGTTTCACAAGGCATCAAGAAAGTAAAACAACTTTATTTTTTTGGATTCTGTGGTTTGTATTTGACTTGTCTTAAACCACGGGAAGCAATAAATTTTTTTAAAAAAAAAAAGAAAAAGGTTGGACTTAAAGCCTCGAAAGGGCCAACGCATTTGGCATCACTTCAGTGGTTCACATGCACCGCCCCTGGGCATGTATGATTCTGGCTCTATTTCTATGCCATTTCCCTTTCTCTTAGGGGTGTTTGGTAGGTGATTTTTAAGGGGATAGATGGGTAAGTGATGGAGGGGATTTGTGATGGACGTGTTTGGTAGAGGAGTTTGACAAATAAAGCAAGGCAATGGCTTTTCCCATGAATCTATGAAATCAGTGTAAAAGTGGCTCTGGCTCCAAATCACTGTTTGAGAACACCTCCTTCGACCTGGTATAAGAAGAAAACTAGGGAAATGATCTTTTAGGCGCCAAAATGTTTACGCAATTGCCCCTCTCTATTTATCTCTCTCCTATAATACCCATGCTCTATTCATGGTAGGTGGAACCAAACAGATGGAAGGAGAAAGATCCATGGGTGATGCATGTGGTCGTAGACAAAGCTACCACTGATTTTCTGTATTTCTTTGTCTTTGTGATTACTTCGTTGTAGCATCCTTTGAGTGGAAGATACATGTCGTGGGTGACTACTCAGTGAGGAAACGAAGGATAATGTAGCTGAAGGAAAGACGAGTCACCTGCCAACTATTTTGGTTCGCAAGTTGTGTTCATCCTTTCTGTAAGTTGTGTTCATTTATGCGTGTTGTTCCCCTGTGTTTTTGAAATGGATTTGGTGTTGAGTGTTCCGGTAGCATTGGTTTTGTTATGTGTTCATGGTCAACTCCACTTTAGTTGGTTTATGTTTAGGCTTGAGGTTGTTGTTTTGGTAAATTGAAAAAAACTTTAAAAAGGGGCATAGCAGAAAGGGTGCCTTTTATTTTGCTACCACTTTATTTCATGATGCTTTTGTTCATCTTCATTCATACATATTGATGTTCGATCTTTGTTATTCTTTCCTTTTCATACAGTATTTTGATTATTTTTTTGGGTTCAGCCTATCCATTTCACATACCCCTTTAAATTAAAGGTACAATTTCTTCTAATAAAGTGGTAATATGTAGACTCCATAGATTGTACCGTTGTTAGCTCACATATCTGTTTACACAAGTTTCTTTATCGGTTTACACATTTTGATTAAAAAATGCCTCTCTGCACAATCGGTTGATGTGTTTATGTGCTCCTACATGCTTTTGTTTGTCCAAACTGAATATCATGAAATGCATGAATTTTTTGTAAATCCATACAATTTGCATTTTGTTTTTCATTTCTGTGAATTTTTTTAATAAATCATTGATTGACTCAACCAAACAAGACACTCTAGCCAGTACTAGAACTGAGCTTTATGCCTCACAATCAACTTTTGCAACCACAACCACCACCTTGTGCATTAACCTTGATAAAGCTGCAATCTTTCAATGAGCATGCATCTCCATTTCTATTTTGTTTTCCTTTTGTTCTAAACACTCAGCAATTATTTGTCTTCAAACTTGCCATTTTCTAGTCTTACTTTTGGGCTATGAATGTTCTGTTTTGTGCCATTGTTACTATACTTTTTAGACATGTAATGCAAGCATAATTATGTTCACTACTTTCTTCTGCAGTTTTAAAATTTCCTTCTTAGAGGAATTATGCTTTTGGTAGTATGATAATATACATGTAGAGCCTGATTGCTTCCTTGCTGTGTAAAGGAATGGATATATGGGATAGTTGGTGGGCTAAGTTGCAATTCATGTAGTTTCTGGGTTTGGTTAGTTTTTGGATTTCGTTTGAAAAGTTTAGGACTTTATTCTCAAGAGCTTTCGGTTTTGGTCACTTGTATTATTAAGGGTAGGATAGAAGAGGTTTCTCTTGTGTACCGAATGCCACCCCAACAATGCTAGTCCTTTTCATTTATTTATTTTTTGCTTCCATCGAAAATTTTTTGATGAATTTTCCATGTACTTCCTATTTATGGTCATATCAGAATGTCTCCACATTTGTATAAGTCCTTTTATGTTGTTTATTTTGTTTAAGCTGAATTTTGTTGTCGTTCTTTGTGTTAGATTGTGGCAATGAACAACGGAATGGAGATTAGTGCCATTGTTGTACTCATCACTCATTTGCAACTTATGAATCAAATGACAATGTTGTTAATGAGTTTGTGTGCTTTGTTGTTACGCGATATTATAAAAAATAGAAATCAAAGGAGGACAGTAACATGGGAGTTTTGTAGCAGGGGTAGGGTAAGGGAAGTAAATTTCCATAGAATCATACATTTAAGTGACACTGCTTGTATAGAGAATACAAGGATGGACAGAAGGTGTTTTTTTAAATTGTGTGAGTTAGTCAAAACTGTTGGGGGACTTGAACCGACGAAGCATATGGGTGTGGAAGAGATGCTTGCAATATTTCTTCACATTTTGGCGCATGATGTGAAGAATAGGATAATTAAAAGACAATTCATGAGGTCCGGTGAAACAATTAGCAGGCAGTTCACGAATGTGTTGTTGTCTGTCATTCGCTGTCATACAGTTTTACTGAAACGACCTGAGCCAGTCCCTCAAAACTCCACTGATGAAAAGTGGAAGTGGTTCAAGGTAATGTTGTCTCTAATTTGTACTATTACAATATGTAGTTCTCGATGTTCAGTTGTATTCAATGCAAAACTGGTACTAATATATCTTTTTGTCTTAATTGTTAGGGTTGTTTGGGAGCTCTGGATGGTACACATATCAAGGTAAATCCTTTACAAGCCGATAAGGCTAGATACCGCACTCGGAAGGGAGAAATAGCAACCAATGTGCTTGGGGTTTGTTCACAAGATGCTCAGTTTATATATGTATTGCCTGGATGGGAAGGGTCAGCTGCAGATTCGAGGGTCTTAAGAGATGCCATATCTCGTAATCATGGTTTAAGGGTTCCAAAAGGTACCTCAAATATGTAACTTTAACTTTCCCTTTTTCATAATTTGTTCACTTGCTGAATTGTTAATAATTTATGTCTAATGTTTCTCTAATTTGTTGTGCCAGGTTTCTATTATTTGTGTGATGCTGGTTACATGAATGCGGAAGGCTTCCTTACACCTTATAGAGGTCAGAGATATCATCTCAGTGAGTGGAGACACGGGGCACAACCTACAACGGCCCAGGAGTTTTTTAACATGAAGCATTCTTCTGCAAGAAATGTCATTGAACGCTGTTTTGGGCTGTTGAAGGGTCGTTGGGCAATTGTTAGGTCGAAGTCATACTATCCGGTTAAAACACAAATCAGGATTATAACTGCATGTTGCTTGCTACATAACCATATCAGAAGAGAAATGGCCTATGACCCATTAGAGGAGCGTGAAGTGGATCTTCAACCGGTTCAAGACGATATGGGAGCGGAAATGATCACTCACGTGGAGTCTTCCAATGCGTGGTCACAATTGAGGGACGATATGGCCAGACAAATGTTTAACAACTGGAGGACACATGTTTGATGTGGACTATGTAACAAGTCATAGTCCTAATTTTGTGTTTGTTAATGTTATGCATTACATTTGACTACAAACTTCGATCAGTCTACTATTTTGTTGTACTAATGTACGATGTTAGGTTATGAATCATCATCTTCGTAGTTGATTTACGTTAAAATATTCATGTGTGTTCCTCTCAATCATGGCATGGTATATAGATGTTAGATTTATTTAACTGCAAGCTGATATATCTTTTTGGATCACAATTATTTGCATGTTTTTACATGTTTTCATATGACACAGCTTTTTAGTTGGAAATTTAACATCATGGCCGAAGACAGCCAGCAGTCAAGCAAACGAGCTAATCATACATGGACTGCCGAAGAAGATAAAGTGCTTGTGGAATGTCTCATTGACATAGGGTCGAGTTACAAAGGAGAGAATGGTTTTAAACCTGGTTTTTCTGGAGCTACAGAGAAGCTCATGCATCAAAGGATACTTGGTTGTACCCTCAGAGGTATCCCTCATATCACATCCCGGGTTAAGTTGTTAAAAAAACAGTACAATGCGATCGCTGAAATGATCGGGCCTAACAGTGGGAGTGGATTTGGATGGAATGATACAAAAAAAATGATAGAGGTGGAGAGGCAGATATTCGATGACTGGGTGAAGGTAATGTTGTTACTCTTATTTACTTATACTTGTATCATAAATAGTAAATTTCCTGGTCTATGGGCTTTAAATAATAATTTTGATTGCATCAAAAAAGTAACCTGGTTTGTTTATCATTGTTGCAGAGTCACCCCAATGGTAAGGGTCTGTTTAATAAACCATTTCCTCACTACGACCAATTAGGAGCTGTCTTCGGAAAAGATGTTGCATCTGGTCAAGGAGCAGAGGGGCCAACAGATACAATTCACGAAATGCAGCGAGATGGTGCTATGAATGCAGGGAGTGGGATTGCTTTTGACGATTACCTTGACATGACTGGAGACTATATCCCCACACCTTGTGGTGATACTACAATGCCCGATATCCCACAAGAGGAGGTGATGCCACCATCTCCTGTATCAACTGCAACTACAACGAGGGGTAAGAAACGTCAAAGAAGCGAAGACCCATTACTTGTGGAAGTTGTTGACGTCATGAAAGATCTTAGTCATAACTACAAGAAGTCAAATGATAGTATTGATAAGTTGACATCTTGCTTTCAACATCAAGCCGAGGGTAGCCATAGGCGTATGTCAATTGTTACTGAACTGGAGAAATTTGAAGAATTGACAATGGGACAACAGGTTCATCTTGCTGTGCAATTGGGCAAGGATAGCAATCTCACAGATGTGTTCATGCAATGCAGTCACGAAAAACGAGTTGTTTTGGTGGCTGGATTGTTGGCTAATTATCAGTGACTGATACAGTTTCACTCTTTTTGGTTGTGCTATGGATAGATAGCCATATTTTGCTTATATCATAGTTTTATGCATCTACTGGTGGTTACTTTTTTGTGAAATATCTCCACTATGCTGTTCATATTAGAAGTCAGGTTCAACTCCACAATGTATATCCTATATGTACATGGTTCAGAAGTGTAGCTTATCGTCTTTTTGTGGTCACCAATATATGTTGCTACTGAATACGAATGTTTATCATTGTATGATGGTAAGCTGTCATTTCATAGGTCTATCACTTGCTTGGTGCATCTGTAAAGTTCATTTATTTCATGTCTAACTCAGGTTACTATACTTGCAGGATGAAGAAAGTTGCCAATGTCCAAGATTTAATCATATAACTGCTATGTATGACACCATGCCCACAGGACCTGTATCCGTATTCGATGTTGTTCTAATTTGTTTTGCTGGTTGTTTTTATATCTAACATGAACTATGCAAGACAGAAATATGACATTGTATATATATATATGCAGGTTAGCCCAAGGAGGTGAAATTTGCATTTTCACCGAAATCATTGATGTGGACACACATATTTCTGATATAGGACGGCCTCCTCTTGACAGATAAAGCACAAGACCATGCGCCATGGATAATCTACCATTGGGTTTTTTTTTTAGGACTACCAAGCTAGATGGAGAGAAACCTAAGTTGAGCTTAACAATACAGATACAAGTTGTAACCTAGTATAGACTTCGTCATTCATCAAGCTTTTGTGTAACAGTATATAGTGGAGAATATGTTGTCTGATACAGCTGTTATGGAATGATTTGTGCCTTAATTGCATTTATGGGTCCTTAAGTTTGTGAACAATGTAAAGTTGTTGCTATTTAATGAATAGAGCAGTCCACGGAATAGATCTTCATATACAGAATAATTTTACTCTGCTTACTGTGTCATTATCGAGTTGCATCACAAATGTAAATAGAGTGAAGGAATTGCATAACTCTGATTTTATTCAATGATAAGTATGCCTTTGTAGGGCTCTGCAAAATTTTGTAATTACAAACATCATCACATCTAGTACATGACTCTCCAATTTACAAACTGCATGTCTATGACACTTTTATACAATTTACACCTTCAAGGTCGTCCAATCCCATCATGAAGCAAGACAACTACAATATAGCATGGTCACATTTTTGGACGATAAGTTGTCTATAGACAAGTCCTGGGTCGTTGTACACAAGTTCTTCACTTGGAATGCCAATTGCTTCATTTATTAATTTCCCTTCATACATAACATCTCCATGTGAATGCTTCGACCATAGTAAGCCATTTAAGGGTCCTGGCATAGGTGCTGCCTATCCTAGGTCCGTTTTTCGTTCCCTGTGTTAATAAAAAATGAAACATGTGTGTGGTTAATCATTAATCATTAGTAAAGGACTGAGGTAAGCTAAAGAACACATACAGATTTTGTTTTTGTTTGTTGTCAAAGGGTCTAGAAAACCAGCACCCTAAAAGCATAAACAATATTTGTCTCATCATTAGTAAGAAGCTCGAGAGAAGGTAATATAACACCTGCAGTTATAGATGGGTTTATGCAACTCGTTAAGTGCAAAAACAGTAGAACACAATTAATTTTATTTACTCCTTTATAAATTAAATAAAACAAAAATGTTAATGGAAGCTAATAAATGTTAATTGATACCATACAAAGACCTGGGTGCGTAATATCTCACCTTTAATATATCATAACAATGACAATAGGATACCCAAACTATTATGCCATTCATAATACCCACTTCAAAGATAACATGCAATATCTAGAAAGCATTCAGATCCTATCAAGCTTAGATACTAGATAGTTCGATGAAAGGAATCGTCCTTGTCAGTAGCATGCAGGTCCTAAACTTTCTGTTAGTGTACTAAGTCGAGAAAAAACCAACATGAACAAATTTCTTTGATTGTTTATTTATACTTTTCATATCTTCATTTTTTGTTAGGTAGGGATGGGAAATATGCAGATTTTGCTTATAGAAAGTGGTGAACTTGTATGTTTAGTGTCAGTTCAAAGCATCAGTTCTGATCTACATGCAGGTGCAAACAGCCATGCAACAGACTTCAATACTCACGGTATCCTCTGGTGCTCTTGCACTAAACTGTCCAGCTCAGCCTGCAAATCTAGCATACTCTTAACATCACCATGGGCCTTCCTCAGTTCCTTAGTGGCTCGTTGAATTTGGGCACTCAATTCCTGCCTAGAAGCTGCCAAGCTCTGTGCCTCAATATGAACCTGTTGCAGGTTCTTCTTTACAGTATCACCAGCTCTAACATCTACCTCCATTTTTGCAATCTTATCTAGTAAAACTCTGATCTGAATATCACTTTCAGTGTGTATGCTTCTAATGTACGACTTCAGCTTTTGCAAATCCTGAGTGGCGGACACAAGGGCATCTCTTAAGGCCACATGTGTACTTGCCAGTCTATGATTGTCCCCAGCAAGTTGCTTTATTTATGCTGTCTGAGCAGCAATTTTATGCTCCAACAGGTGAGGAGGAGGCAGGGACTCCAGAGGAAGATGTGCAGCAGCATAACTCAAACCAGGAAATGGACCATGCCGCATCATCCCAGAACCTTGAACAGAGCGCCCCTCAAACACTGGTAGAAATTTTCCCCTGCAGCCATTCATCAGATTATGAACTTGTGGTTATGCAAACATCAACACCAAACTCTACCAAGGTACCTGCAAGAAAAATAACCACTACTCCAATTAAAGAGGATACACAAAGCCATATCCAACGTCAATAACCAAATTTTCAAAACTCAAAATGAATTCCTACAACTCTCCAAAGATGGTTTCATTAGTACATGGACTCAAGGTCAGACCAAGCATAAAGTTCATATTTTTCTTTCACCAAAAAAAAAGTTAATATTTTTCATTCCCTTTAAAAAGGGGCATGGGGGCCTGAGGTAGAATGTAAAGCTAATTTCAGAATGCCATTGATTTTTATAGCATCTCTTTTCTTTCTGTTTTGCTAAACTGACAACTTATTCAAATGTTTTGCATCATACAGAAACATATATCACAGATGAATAGTATGGAGCTATATTATACATAAATAAAAGATACCAATCGAATTGGCAAAGGAATACCCACCTTCAATAAATCGTATATGTACGTTCCCAGCAAAGAAGAGACTAACAATTCATTTCAAAAATTGAAAGGGGGGGATACAGAATGAAAAACCAATAATGCAAATAGAAAATTAAGCAACATTTAATTAAAAAAAAATTGGGGATGGGTCAAATAGGACTTCAAGCGAATCAAACGAAAAAGAGAAAGAGAGAGAGAAAGGAGGAGGAGGAGGCGTATAATATCTCTAACCTAATTAATTAGCAAATTACATGTAGTTAAATAATTAAGCATGTTTTAGTGAGTAAAATTAAGTATAAGGCTTAATGAAATGAATCTGAGTCACTTTGGAGTTAAAAATATTCAGTGAAAATTAAGGGGTATAAATGGGTACTGGCGAAAGTGCCCAAAATATAAAAATAAAATTATAAATATTCCTAGAATAATATTCCAGACTTTTGGGTAAAGTCTGGTAATTATTGGAGTTAAATAGATAGACGAACCAATACCCACTTGATTCCACTTAACTAATGTTAAGTGGCCAAAGCAAATAGAAACCCATTTCCCACCCCATTTTCCCGTCGCCAGCATCAGAGAAAAGAAGAAAGGAAGAAGAAGGAGAAGGAGGGAAAGGGAGGAAGAGAGAGAGAGAGAGAGAGAGAGCTAATCTCAACCATTTTGAGTGATTCCAAAGCCTAAACCACTCCAAATCTTCCCCTCTTTCATAATCCTAGCTTGGTTTTGAGTGGGGAGCATTGTGGAGAGGGATATTGCTCCTCAAAAATTCGGCCCTTTGGAGAAATTTGGGGTTTTGAGTGCTTCAACCTCCATTGAAGCTTGAGGAGCCATCAATCCTTGGTTGTGTGACCATTGGTGGTAAGATTCTAACCCTTGAACCTCATGATTCCTTGAAATTTGCATGAGTTGGGGTTTATGAATAGTGTTTTAGGGTTTTGATGAAATGTTGTTAAAGTAGCTATGTTCTAGGAAGAATGGAGCTTAGTGCATGTTATAAGAAATGCTAGGAATGGCATTTAATCGGTGAAAATGAGCTTAGATAGTTATATGACTATACTTTGGAAAATTGCAAGAATATGACACTTGGTTATGAGTTTTCTTGCATTGTTGAACCATTGTTGGGTTGGTCCTTGATTGTATCCTTGTGTTGTCTAGGATTGAGGCAATTGGATCAACCTTAATTGACCAACCTTTGGAGCAAGCAATGGAGATGGATTAGTCCTTGAAATAGGTAAGTTCATCCTTGTGTTGTGGTATGAATAGGATAGCTTGGATTGATGGTGATGAGTTATCCTTGAATGCAATATGTTAATTGCATTACCCTTGTATAGGTGTATATTTGTAAAAGTGGATTGCTGAAACTGTTGGTGAAGAACAAAGGTCGACTGAAGCATTGAGGTAAGCCTTCGGACCTTGGGTGTAATTCCCTTGACTGTTCCACCAAGCCCTGAAAGGGTAGAGGTTGTGATTGTGTATATAAATGCAATAAAATAGTGTAATGCTTTGTTATACGTATGTGTATGCATTTGGTGTGGCATAGGATGGTGTTTTCCTATGTTGGTATGTTGCATGACGATGCGTAAATCATACTTGGTAGTTAGCTGGCCAGTAGGACTATTTGCATCTGAGTTTCCTTAGGACAGCTTGAGAGCTCGAGGGATTTCTCCTGGAGATGTATTGCACTTTGCATAGATATGTATTTACTGCATTATTATAGTTATTGCTATTACACTGATATGGAACTGTGGGGTGGAGAGATACTCCAAGGACCCCTGGTTTACTGGATATATTTGTATATCTCACCCCGTGTTGTGGGGACCCCCTTTCAGGTAAGGATGCTGCAGGAGCCTCTGGTGGCAAGTGGCCATATCTGGATTATGCATGAAATGTGGCATTTCTTTTGAGATTGTACATGTTGTTTTGTAGCTCACATGTATAGGATTGTAATTCATAGACCATTGATAGATGTATGAATTGTATATTGGAATGGACTTAGCCTATGCTCATGCCTTTGGTCATCTCTTTTGTTGATGAGAGCCAAGGGAATGATCATAGTGTTTTGTTAGCTAAGTTCCATGAATTGTAATGAACATGATGTGTAATTGATGAGTACTTTGAGTTTAATATATGTATGTTCATTAAGTATTGGATTGTTGAATTGGAAACTAAATTAGGTACCTAGTGCTAAATTGGGAAATGTTGAGAAAACAAATACATCCTGTCCGTTTGACCAATTTTCATACCCAATGTGATGGAATTGGACTTTGATGTCTCTAGGGAAGTGGTAGACGTTCCTCTTAGCTTTTCATAGAGACCAAAATGGTGTAATTTGAGTGAGTATAGCTCAAATTATGAGTGGAAAACCATAGGTAGGCTAAATGACCTTGTTTTGGGTCACCCAGCCCTGTGGATGGCGCCTGGGGCGCCAAATTCACGCTTGGGGCGCCAACTTTCTGTTTTCCCACGCTCTGAGCGTGGATCTCACGCTGCGGGCGCGGGGGTTCTGGAGGTTTCGCACCCTTTTCTTAAAAAGTGCATAACTTTGGCTACGGTGCTCCGATTTGAGCGCGGTTTGAACCCACGCGTAGCTAATGAAAAATACTATAACATAGTAGAAGATGGGAATCATAAAAGGAGTTTAGAATTAATTTGATAAGTAAAGTGATGAAGACATTTCACGACGTATTGTCAAGTATAATGGGAATATAATCTTAAGTTTTGTCCCACTATTCCGCGAAGTATATATAGTTATGATCACGCACTTGGTTATTTGAATCCGGCTTGTATAAAGAGGAAAAATTTATCCGGTTTTCTAATTGAACCAATGTGATTGTAACTGCGCTTAATGCCGTACGCAATGATAACAATCCGGTTCTAGAACGGGGTGTTACAAGGCGGCTTACGGTGAATGAAGAAGGAGGTGCTTATTTGGTGTGCATGGCACCGTCGATGAAGACAATGGTCACATTTGGCTCACCAGTCTCCACGATCCCTGTGACACAGCGAATGAATAAGAACAATATGAGGTTTTCGACAAAACGACCAACACACATTTGGCACGTAAATGAAGAACGGGAGAAGAACGTTGGAAAATTGCGTGTCCAACGTATCTTTGCCACCGTGTCTATTTCAATATTGAGGGGTATTTTGGAATTTTTGCCATATTTCCCCATCAATCTTTTACTTTCAACCAAACATAGTCACAGTAAATTCTATACAATTTTCCTGGTAATATTTCGGTCTACCAAACAACATTTTTAAAATTTCCCCACTTATCTAAATTTACAGCTATTTCCCCACTAATTATATTTACCTGGTTAAAAAAATGTCTCATCTACCAAACGTCCCCAACGGAAGATGCCATAACTTATTAATTACCTCTGAGCAATGCATCCAAAACCCAGTTGTACCTAGAAATATTATTTTAATATATTTTAAATCAACGGTTACAACTATCGTACGAGTGTCATACAATTTCTCATAATGAAATAATTCAAACAATAAACTAGAAATCAAGATGCTGATTGATTAATGGACCCCAATAGAGCTTAATCGGTCCTAAGATACAAACACTAGCGCACGAAAAAGGATGTTAAACTAGAGGAACCAGATTACATGAATCAAGAGAGAATGTAAATCTATGGGTTTATTCAATGATTATATTCTTTAATATGCAGGTTAAACGATATTTTGAGAAATCATGTTTTTCAAATTTAGTAAACAGGACAGTAATCTTTGTCCATGGTGATGATAACAAATCTTCAATTGAGAACCCTTTCTCTTAAATGACTTTTGATAGCAAACTTTAGACTGAGAACTCTTGATGCGGAATGATTTTTCTCAATCTCTTCACCCTCTTATTCTAAGTCCCTTTTTTATTCTTGATGGCAAAAACTCATAACCTTCTTAATGGGTAGAGATAAAGGATTTTACCCTAATCTTTACATAACTGCTTCCATCAAGCAAATTATTATATTGTCCCTTAACAACCTTCCACTAATTAGGTCATTAATAAACATAATTATCTTTTAGCCCTTCTTATATTCAAATCACGTGAGCCACTAATCACGGATATATCTAACAATCCAAACTTGACTTGCTCTATCAGATAAAATATTGCATGCTCTGAATCGTCACATAATGATAAATACCAAATGGAATACTATGAAACACCGACACTTCAAAATTTCTGACATGTCGTGTTCGACACTTCCCAACATTTCTCGACACTCCAATATTCATTGCAAATACTCAAAAAATATTTAAAGGTTACGTTGCGTTGCATTTTGAGTTTCAACTATTAGATTCGTTGGATTATGACTACTATTTTATTGAGTTTAATATAAATATTTGGGATATCTTATGTTTCTTTACAAAATTAATGGGTATTATAAATTTAGCTTTATTTTTTTGATAAATTATTGAATATTAAATATAATATACACTACATAAATTAAAAATATTATATAATATCAAAACGTGTCCTAACGTGTCAAAATTTAATATTTTTTAGAATTAATGTGTCTGAGTGTCATGTCATGTCGTATCTCGTGTCTCGTGTCGGTGTATGTGCAACATAGATGAAATATACCAATTAAAAGACAACCATAACACTGTTTAATATTGCAAAGCACATTAGATAATAAATAAAACATCTAAACACACAATATATATAAAAGTCAAGAGGAAAGTGTATACTTGCAAGTTGCAATTCCCATATAAGATTGAAAGATACTAACTTACAAGATACATAAAATTTAAAATTAGGATAAGTCACCTCACGTCTATCTTAGACGTGGGTCTCGTATGTTGGCTTTTATATTTAGTATTCGTCTTTCATTTGTCGTAAAAAATATTTTAGTTAAATTAATTTCTTTTTAAAGAACTCGGTTCGCCATCCGTGTTTACTAGTGAATCAAAACAATTGTTACCGTCAAGTCAAGTCAATTTTATTTTATCAATCCTTATTTTATTTATATTTTGACATTTCAATTTTAATTAATGATGAACACTACTCACTTATATCCTTATCATCTCAACCTTACTTCAAAAAAATAAAATAAAATGATAATATATATAATTGTTTGGCTACCCCATAGTTAATCAATACCGAAATATTAAAATGTGAATGAAATAAACTCGATCTCAGGTGACACCTCACCAAAATACAATAATTTGTGCTCCATAACTACATGATACCGCAGAAAATTTGGCCGGCCCAATTTTTCTAAATCTTATTTTTGCTTTGGCAAGCTTTCAATAAATGGGGCAAGTGGTGTATTACCATGCGTGGATACTTCAAAATTAGTTGTGTATTTATATCGCATCCGTAATTGATAACATTTTGATACGGCTGAATTTATAATTTTTGGCGTTTCAAATTTTTTTTTAATACCCCACACGCCTTCAAAGTACTGATATTAAAACAATATATAAAATTCAATTTCTCACCGATTAGACTTTTATGTTTCATCCTCACCAAACCAGCTATCGTGAAGTTGGTAGGCAAACTGAAGAAGCATTTTGAGTATGAGCGAGAGAGACCACACAAGAGTAGTTAATTTATTTTTTCTTTTTGACATTTACACATATAAATATTTTAATTCATATATATTTCCGTATTCATATCTCAATTTATAAAACAAAAAAAAAAACTAAATATGATATTTACGTAGGTTCCTTGTAACCCGCATGATGCAAAATTAGCACCTCCAGGTTTGCCAGTTTCTCTTCCCACTTAACCTAACCCATTGACCCAACAGCTTAAACATTGGATCATTGGAAAATATAAAATACTTCATCAATCAAAGACACATGAAGTTGTTATCAAAAAAAAAAAAAAAAAAAAGACACATGAAGTAACTAAACGCTCAAACAGGTAGGTACTTTATATGCCCACTTACATTCTCCAAACAGGAATGCAGTATATTAAGATCCCCAAACAGAATGAAAGGCATATTGTAATCATAGCATAGGCATATGCTCTCCAAGGATGCATGCTTTCTCTCATTGCATTAAACTCAGCAACAAATGTAGAGACAGTACTCAGACAGCCCAAAAGACCAAATTGAATTCCTGTTACAACTGTATCACAATTTGTGGTATTCACCTGCATCAAACACCAGGTATACACTGATCACAACCTCCAAAATTATGATACACATTCTCATAATTTTGTTGGGACATAAGATCCAAAAAAAAAAAATTAAAAAAAAAATTAATAGAAAACTTGGAGAAAAATTGATAGGAAAAGTTAAGAAATCTAATAAGGGTAAGAATAAAATACGAGTACAAAATTTTCAAAAAAAAAATATTAGTAGGAGGGCAAGAAAACAAATATAAGTTAAATAGCATATGGCAAGAATATGTAGAAGAATCAAGTTGGAAAGAAAAATCTTTCTCCTAAAGCAATTCTGATCCACATAAGGAGTTTGTATAATAAGATACTGAAAAAACTTACTGATTTCTTCATGGTAGCTAATGCAGCCATGACACAAGCAGCAGAAACATTGGCAATTAGAGTCCCAAATGGAAGCCATTTGAACAACCCTGCTCCTATTCCACGCCCATTGAGTCGAGCTAAGAACCACCTAATCCACACACCTAGAGGTCCAACCATGCAAGCAAACCATAACTGAGCTGCATTACCACCATGTTTGAACTCATCCTTTTCCAATGCACCAATGACACCCCACAACAAACCTAAAATCACCAATAACACTATGGTAACTACCAATTGACGTTGAAAGCTGTCCACCTTAGAGATACAAGTGCCACTTCTAGGTTTCATGTTTAGCCTGCTGAGAAGCCATTTGAAACCCTTGGCCGTCTCTACCCCAAAGATGATCGAAAAAGCGACAAGAGACAAGCCTACAATATTCCAGTTGTTTACAAACTCTTCTTAATAACTAGAAGGTGCTGAGTTAAAATTGACATTCAGATCACTTAGGATAAAAGTCCAAAACAGGGAAATAAAAATAGGTAAAGGATCCGAATGAGACAGCTACTATACAACTAAATCGCCCTTAACGAAATGTGCCATATTACCTACCAATTAGAAAGCCAAGGACAGAAAAGAGCCAGTGTCCATCAACACTGAGCTCAAGCATTTTCTGATTCCAACCACTGAAAGTTGTTAGGCTCCCTAAGTAGCCAGTTGTTAGTGCAATGGCTAGATGCTCAGATACACGGGATATATCTCCTTTAAATACAACACCAAACCATCCCATCAAAAAGGAACCAACCTGGAAAATGTGTACAAAATTTGAATGAGCACAAGATCAGAACCAGCTTCCTAATCAATGAACTTCAACAATTGCATTTAACGGGAATGCTAATGCTTTTATATTGATTGTGTCAAAGCAAAAATAGCAACTGTAACTCATTTAATTGTACTTATTTAAGTCACATTAAAAAATATGAAGGGTTGTAACTTTGCATTATTAGCAAATCTCAAATGATGTTGAGTAAATCCTTAAAGTCAAATTGAGTATAACATGCAGATCAAGGAATTAAGGAGATTGAAATAGAGACGAAGCATGCCTAAAACTAACTACTGTTATGCTGTGAAAGAATAAATACGCACTTGCTTTTGAAACACATTTATAATCCGGATACACTCTTATAAGGTACGGGTATACACTTCTTTTAGGTGATGCATATCCTGATCAATTAAGGAATCCAAACGCATGTGCCAGCAAAATAATTAACGTTAAACAATTAAATAAAGGTCAAAGAAATCATTAAAGATATATAAAATCATTAATGTAGCCTCACCCATCAGCTTAAGTTTTTGAGTTAAATTAGTTCTTTACATGGTATTAGAGCCTCGGTGCCACTAGTTTGGGATAAAGGTGTTATCGATGTATTAACACAACAATGCCAATAAAAGCTAAAATTGCTTTTCAACCAGCCAAATGATTCTACAGTCCATTTTTTGTTACTTAATCGTTCAATGATTCATAAGGATATAGTCATCATGAAAATCATATTCTGAAATTACTAGCACATGATCCACCTAATCCTCCTTAACCTTATTACTTATTTTTCTTCTTTTCTTCTCCTTTGGCAAAACCTGATCAAATTTTGTCTTTTGAATTTTCTTTTCCTTGGTAAAAAAGTAATCATTTATTGCACTCAAGAGTCAAGACTTGCGCCTGATAATCTGTGCATGCGAAGGGAGAAGGGGCAAACCATATTAGAAGGCAAGTCAGGGTAAAGAATGGTCTGATCACTAGTCACACCAGCAACCCCCGGTCCAAATAACTTTCCCAGTAAGTATCTTGTTAAGACCTGCATATTTATTATGGCAATTGGTGCATTAGTATCATGATAATAACTGCATATTTCACAACGAATTGACAAGAAAGATAATGTTAATGATTCAGCGGATTGGCAGGTAGATTTTATTTTGAGTACTCTACTTAAACGTCTTAGATTACTGTCCCTTGAGAACACAACTTATTGCAAGATTAAATTTGTTCTGCTTCAAATTATGGCACTCTTGGATCAACGAGATAAAAGAGAGAAACAAGTATTTATGTGCAGACAGAATTGGGTTTATAATTATAAGAATATAGAGCAGCTATAATTGGGTTCTTAAGGGTATATGCTAAAATGCTTGGCAGAGAGTTGGTTTGAAGTAAACAAATAAGTCATAGTATATCTTATCTCAAGAATGAGCATGAATATGCAATTTCTTAAACTCTTCATTATTTATCAAACTGATTTTCCAGCATACAACACCAACAACCAAGTGTTATCTCATTAGATGAGATCGGTCGTACTGCTGTAGCCTTTATGAATCAATCAATGCAAATGGATTCTATCAAAAACCAAAATTACCAGTAAAACTGTTCAGAGGAAAGTCCTCTGGTAAAGGTTCCTCCAAATTTATCAAACCTATTTTCTAGCATCTAACACTTTTTTTAACCATTAAGCAACCGATAAAATTAGAATAATCCAGAGTCAGAAGTTAGCATATTACCCCAAGAATTCCAAAAACAGCTAAATGAGTTAGACATGAAACATATTCCAGTAGCTTAGGTAACTTCTTGTTGTCAAGTTCCTGCAACTAGAGTCAAAATAACTTCATTATTTAATCATGAGGAAATAAAAATAATTCGAATTAATTAAGCTTAAACGTATCATTAACAAACATAGAAACAATAAATCAAGAAAAAGAAATTGTTAAATGAACCCACTTGTTTTTTGTCTTCAGAAAGAACTTTTCCATTAGTAGAAACAGGGGTCTGGATCGGTTCTAATGACTTTACAGAGGAGACATAATTCAATGCTGCTGGATATTGATGCAATTCATGATCCCCAGGAATGTAAACACCTCCATTTTCGGAAGAGCTGTCACTGTGCCTTGGGCCATGAAGAACTCGATCCCCAATATCTCCTGCTTCTGAAACACACTCACTCTCAGCATCATCATCTACCTTTTGACTTATTGAAAGCCTACTAACTGCAGAACTGCAACTGCTTGTTCTCTCCATGAACCCCTCGAAAGCAATAAAACTTTTTTCCCTCTGAAATAACTACAAAGTCGTTAAAAAACAAAGTCAAGATCAGTGTTATACTAAATGAGTGATCCAGCTATTGCTGGAAATCTTGATTTTTTTTGTTTTCTTGCTTTTCTTTCTCATTTTAACAGGGAATGATGAATCCAAAATACAAAACATCTACTTATCAACTTACATAATGGATTGTGAACTACTTCGCCTTAAGAGAGCTAGCAACATGTGTGTAAATTTAAATAACCGCTGCTACCAATTTTGTAGTTTTTAAACAAAGAAAAGAAGCCAACATTGAAACTTCCAACTAAAAAAGAAATAATTTATCTGCAAGTCAATATGAGAGAGATGAAGAAGCAGCTATCAAGCCTAGAATTAAAAATTCAAGTGCATAGTTGACTTATTGTTTATACATTTTTTTTAACATAAAGTAATTAACAAATATGTCAGCTAATAAAAACTTCAAATATATGCAGAATTCATAAAATGTCACTGAGTCTTGCACGGTGCTCAGTGCATTGCCAACAAAAAATTGTTAAAATTTGTATGTGTTCTGGGTCTTCTCTTCTATAAATAAAGCATTAAGCTTTTTTGGTGCACGTCCTCTGATCCCTACTTCTTTAGCAATTACTGCATAGACACTATGCCTTCATGAGTCTCTCTATCTATGTCACCTATTGCACATTTTTTTTTTATAAACGATGAGTTTTTAATAAACTTTATATTATATATATGTAACACACCCTCTTATACAAAAGTCATTTAGACTTCAAGCTTGGATGTTACAGATACATATTTCTTAGTTCTATTTTTTATTAATTTAATTTCACCGTAAAATAGTGAAGATCCAACTCGTGACCGGTGGTCACCTTGCATCTAACATTTTTCATAGACAATCACGAGCAGCATGCAGATCCCATATTGTTCACTGCGGATCGGTCAGACATTCACGATCACATGTGGGGGATACCAAGATTTATCAAAAGTGGTCTACACAAATTAGAAATGTTAACACTATTCAAATAAAGGAAATTCAAAAGCAAGCTATCTTTTCACATCGAAGGAAAAAAGTTAAGGTGTTACTATTATACCCAAATAATTAGTGCCAGCTCTGAAATGAAAGAAGCTTAAAGATTCACAAGTCACCATGAATAGTATTTGCTTTTCTCTTTTCCTTGTTTTATATAATTTCTACTTTAAACCACATAACGCAATAATAAAGGTCAATGGGACCATGGCGAATTGCGACACATGCGCCACAGCTTCAGCCTCGAGCAATGAGAGGTTTCAGTGATATTCCGAGAAGAAAAATACTGTTCGATCCTCGGGATAGAAATGTCCAGTCAATAACTGGTAGTTAATATTGGATCTACACGTCCTCTGTAGGGGAGATATTTGCGAATCATGGTGGAGGTGTGTGTGCAGAGAGGATAGGGTTTTGAATTAGCTGCCATGAGTGGATTTCTGGTCCTCTCGAAAGTATTGAAAATTCAGTTCATGATTTATAGCTATCACATTAGATTAGTATATGGGAAAAATATTTCTATAATTACGGGAGAGAACTTATCTACGTTTATTTTCAAAACGATATCGTTTTGGTATTGAATCTTAAAAAATTATAAATATAAAGACTATTATAACCCTGAAATAAATTTAAATTACATAAACACCATGATTTTCGTCCCAAAATGACGTCGTATTGAGCGTACTACAGATAACTTATCTGCAGTAACTGCAGAAAAAACAAACCCTCATTATATTTAACGAATTTTTCTTTAATTTCTCTCTTAATCATTACCTTTCTTGAGCCTTCTAGAATATGGCTTTACGTGTCAGGTTCATAAGTTGTAAAAATATCTTTTTTAAATCTTAAAACAACATCATTTTGACTTATTGGAGATAAGTTATCTCCATTGATCGGATACATTAAACCCAAAAAAAAATTAACTCTTGAAATATTTCAGCTGTAAACATATGTATCCAATACTAATGCAATTCTTGTGTTGATGTAAATTGATTATATTAAAAAAAAACTTATAAAATGTATTTAAATACTATATTTTTTATAAATAAATGAAATTATTATTATTTACATAATTAATGTAAAAAAAAAATTTTGAAAGCACCAAATAAAATGTTACACATAGTTTAAACAAAAACTTCAAGATTTTTCTAAAAAAAAAAAAAAAAAACTTCAAGATTTAGAAAGGTCGTGACTAGAGGTGGCAAAGTGGCTGCCTGTCCCGCTCTGCCATCAACCAGCCAAAAAGTGAATCAGCTTGTCCCGCCTAGCTTTTGAAAGTGGGCTGAAAAACTCAGCCCGCTTCGCCCCGTTTGGCGGGTTAGCCCGCTAGCCTGAGCCTATTTTACACTAACCCACCTCGGTTTGCCTATGCCCGTCATCAACCTGCCAAAAAATGAGTCCGCCCCACTTTTGAGATGAATTTTAGTCCGCCGCATCCCATTTGACGAGTTGGACGGATTGACCCATCGAGCTGAACCCGTTTTGCCGACTCAAACCATGACATCTATCTACCCAAACAAAAAAGGCCATGACATCTCCTAATTCCTTTCTCACGTCCACGCATAGAAAAAATTATACCGTGACACAGAAGGAGGGACTCTGAGTTGGCATGGCTCCCAAATCCCAAGACAACGTTTCAAGAATTTTCTTTCAACATATATTTAAAAATTCTACATGCAATGTAATATCTGACCTCCTAAAAAATGAAATTAATTCGTGGCATCCCCCCAAGAATATTCTGCTTCTGCCATACATTTTTCGGGAAAAAAAAAGTTTAACAACTGTATTCATTTGTTATCTCTCTTTTATTAATTGTTCGTATAACATATACTTTGATTTGATACAATGCAACGAGTAGATAATTGACAATTCACTTTATTATCTTCTTAATTGGCAGAGTAGACAGGCTTATACACAAGAACTGGAAATTAAAGTTTCACATTTAGAAGAGCAGAACGAAAGGCTGACAAAACAACAAAACAGTGTATGTCTCTATACCTTATTTTAACGACGGCGGCGGTGGATTAGAGTGGGCAGCGCAATGGCGGAGGTGGAGTGGGTGGCACGACGGCAGCTATGGGCAGCGCGGCAGCTGTAGAGAGTATGATCATAGAGAAGAAAAGAGAGAGAAGGGGGGAGAAGGAAAGATAAAGGATTTATATCGGATCAAAAAATCAATCTAACGGGTGAGATTGATATTGATTGATAATAACATAGTAGTAACCATATTTGGTTGTTACAATATCTTTTCCCTACTTTAATACCCATATACTTTAAGAAAGTTGTAACTATTTATTGATTTTCCTTTTCCGTAAGAAATATATACAACTTTTCCTCTCCAATTCGATCATATTAATTTTTCCAATTCCAAACCCGGTCACGTCCGTATTCAAATCAACCAATAAAATAAAATTCAGCTATGTATCTTTCAGTGAAACATCTTGAAAATAAAGTAAAGTAATGCTTTTTTGCGGACAGATGAATCTTAAATCAAGCTTTATCATCGCTTTTTATGCCTATCATGCAGGTGGATGTCTCAGGCAATTTCATGATTAGCATAATTTTATAATTTTATAACGTCAACAAGTTCAAAGGTGTAACACATGAATGGAAAACTTGTCTTTCTAAGTCCTATTTAATTAAAATATATGGTGTTAGAAACAGAAATAAGTTATAGTTGAAAGTAGATTTGTAAATAGTTGAAAGTAGATTTGTAAATAGATGAAGCAGCAGGAGCCTACACAAAATAAAATTATTATGTGAATAGTATTTTTAGAAAATATTTGAATGATTTTAAATAATAAAAATAAATCAATTTATACCAATATGAAAATAAGAACTCTTACCTTCGTTATTGTTCTATTTATATTTAATGATCATACAAATTATATTACTTATCAATTTTAGTGATCTTTTTACTGTTTTTATTATATTCTCTTATTTATTTTTTTAATAATCTAACACACTATTTGGATTTGAGAGTTTAATCAAATATAATTTTTTTAAAAATTATATTATCGTGTTGTTTGGGGCATGTTATTGTGGCATTATTTTTCTTTTTATTTTATATTAAACTATATTTTCTCCTCAGTTATAGAAATAAATAATCTATAAAAATCAGTCTCCCTATTATCAAAATAATTAAGAATAGTTCACTCTAGCTATTTATCTATTTTAGGTAGACACTCTAATCTTTTAAATGTACTAAGGGTGTTCATTTTTATATATTTATTTATCTATTTCTTTCTTTCTTTCTCCTTCCTTCAAAATAAACGAGGTAGAGATAAGAACCAAGTCTTCTAAATATTTTCTGACCCTTATTTGTTCTCTTTTCCTCTGTTACACGAACCCTCTCGTCATCACTCCCTCGATGAATTTTTCTTTCTCGTCTCATTCTCATCATCAGCCTAGCGTCTCACCTACGTGTGTGTTAACCGATCCAAACCGATTCAAATTGCGGTGACCAAATCGAAAAATCGATAACTGAATAAATCAAAAATAAAAAAACCAAAAACAAAAAAAAAACTGCAATTTTTAATTGAATTGGATCGATTTTCATCAACTCATCCGAACGATCCAGTCCAAACGGATCCAATATATTAATTCCCCTCTACCTACTTAGGTCTTTCCCCAATCATAGCCTAAAAATTTCTTAACCCAAGACCCATTAACCCATCAACTAAATCCATGAAAAAATCTAGTCACATCTCATCAACAAAATTTCATCTGTGTAGAGCTTCATATCTCATTGCCCAAAAAAAGAACTATATTATCTTTTATTGATGCTTTTGTATTTCAAAAAAAAAAGTTACAAAGTCAATATATACAAAAGATGTTATTTGCACAATAATCATGAAACAAATTTTAGGATTTTCAAAAAATTGAAAACCGATCCAATCCAAACCGAAAAAAATTGGATTGGATCGGATCGAACTTGAAAAAAATCCAAACCGAATGGATGATTACATAATCAAACCAAAGGAATTGGATCGGATGATTTTTGCTACCAAAACCGATCCAATCCAGACCACGAACACCCCTAGTGTGCATAGTTCGGTTCGATTTGGTTTACTTTGTCAAACCAAATTGACTTGGAAAAAAAAATTAGTGAATTAATTTATTAGTTGAGTTATGAATCCAAATAAACATTATAAAAAGATTGAAGGAAAAAAAATTAAAAAAATATATAAATGATACTAAAAATAAAAAATACATAAGAGAAAAAATTAAAATAAAAGACTAAATAAGTAAACAACTAAAAATAAATAAAAAAGAAGACATTAAATAAATAAATAAATAAGAGAAGAGAGAAAGAAAAATAAATAAAAAAAGAGAAAAAATTGGTTCAGTTCAGAAACTGCTTTTCAATTCAACTAGTTTTTTAAAATAGTTCAATTTAAGAACTGATTTTTTAAAATTAGTTTTCTTAAGTATAGTATTTTTTGTGGTTCTTTTGCATACCCCTAAAATTGATTTTTGTACCAATTTTGAACCCAAATGAAAAGTATACAAATATTAAAAAAAATACAAATAATATCACATTTGAAAAAAAAAAGCAAAAATAAATTAAAGTAAAAATATGAGAAAAAAGACATAAGAGAAAAAAGAAAAGAAAAGAAAAATAAATATAAAAAACTAAAGAAATAAAGTAGGGCTTGGTGTCATTTAAAATGACAAACACTTTTCCCAATAAAGTAATAAAAATAAAGATAAAAGAAGGGAAAAATAGAGAGAAAAAAGATAAATAAAAAATAAGAGAAAAAATATATATTCAATTCATGATTTTTTAAACCAATTCGGTTCTTAAACTGGTTTTGAAAACCAATTCATAAAATAAAACAATATAATTCATGAATTGGTTTTTCAAAAAACAATTCAGTACCAACGGGGGTTGGCTCAAGTGGTAAAGTACTTGGGTTCGCTTAAGCAATAAGCAAGGACTCGAGTTCGAGACCTTGTGTATGCAGAAAATCCTCGCTGGGAGACTCACCTGCTAATGTTAGGTATAATGACCCTCACAGTTATTATGGATTTAATATTGAAGGATAATTATAAAGAAAAAGAAATAAAGTCACCTTTGGTGAAAAAATGAGTTAAAATGACAGTTAAGGGGTAAAAATGCAGATAAGCAAAGTTA